GAAAAGAAACTGCATCTCAGTCTTGGTCAGTGGTCAGAAGTCACATGACAGCAGGTTATAGTCCAACAGATTTATTTGAAATCACAAGCTTTCAGGGCGTAGCCCCTTCAAATAAACCTGTTGGACTATAACCTGATGTCATGTGACTTATGACTTTGTCCACCTCAGTACAACACTGGCAACTCCACATCTTGGTTGGTAGTATACCCTCAATCGAAGAGTGTGTATTTGACGAGGAGTCGAAACAGACCACTATCTGATTTTCTGTAGCCTTACGTGTAGGAGATTTTAACACCCTGGCCTCATTTGCATAGCCGTTATCAGTCTCCTGCCCAAAACTGATGAACAAGGTCAGAAATCACACGACCCACCAGGTTATAGTCCAACAAGTTTAGTTGAAAACAAAAGCTTTCGGAGTCTTATTCCTTCTTCAGGTGTCAGTGAGAGAAGTAGTATCAGACACAGAGTTTGTAAGTAAGAGATCAAAGGTTTGTTTAGTACATCCTCATCAGTGGTGTGACCCTTTGATCACTCGTGTGATCTATGACCTTGTCCACTCCAGTCCAACACCAGCACCTCCACTTAAAAATTGATGGAAGGAATTAACTGGTTGAAGCACTATTTTGGCCAAAACTGGAAAATGCTGCTGGGGTCCCAAAGGAACTGTCCCAAGCACTTAGGTAAGAGGGTGGGCAAGTTTTTGGAAATATAGGGGATTAGGATGGAATATATTTCTGCATCAAGATATGTTTATTCAGAAGATAAAACAATGGTGCAGGAACTCTGGAACTTATACCATGATGCTTAATGTAAAACAAAATTAAGGATGGGGTGGCACAGTGACTCAGTGGTTAGCGCTACTGCCTCCTGCTGCCAGGGACCTGGGTTCAATTGCAGCTTTTGTGTGGAGTTTGCATGTTCTCCCTTTGGCTGCATGGGTTTCCACCAGCTGCTCCAGTTTCCTCCCACAGTGTTAGGTGGATTGGACCTGGTAAATTTGGGGTTACGGAGATAGGGTGAGGGCTGGGTCTGGATGGAGTGTTCTCTAGAGGGTTGGTGTGTACTTGAAGGCCTCTTTCCATATTGTAGGGGTTCTGTGTGATTTTACAGGTACCTACTGAACTACTACAGTGAATTCATGTGAAACTCAGCAACTCGCAATTTCTGAAAGTAGAAAATATATGTAGACACATTCTTCAATCTTAAAGTATGCTTAAATAATGACTTTAGAAATTTATTAAAACAATTATTGCAACAAATAGTGTTGTTGACAGTTAGAAGCTGGGTATGATAAAGTTGACAAGTAGGAGTAGAAATAAAAGAAAATTAGGGAATGATGGGAGTGGTCAGGAGAACTTTTATGTTCAGACGATCATTAAAAAAATCACTCTGCTAGAAACAGGCATGATGGCTTTTATTACAATGAATATTTGGAAAAAGAAAAAGTTTAAAAGTGCACAGGGAAAGGAACTAAGTAGCAACTATTTCAAAGAATTGGCACAGAAAGCATGGGCTAAATGGCCTACATCTGTGCTGTAAAATTTTATGATACCCATCAAATTTTTGACTCCAGTTGGAATGCTTCAGTATGTGTATTATAGATCCATTCTCAGTGTATTCTGTGGGTAATTCTAACATTGTGTTGTTAATTGATTCACTGTGCAACCATAATTATTTTCCCTATCTGAGAGGTGTATAATTCAAATGAGTCTTCAATAGAATTCTGAGCTCCAGGTGCCAGATGCAGCAACATTGATTAGTTTGTAGAGAATTCATTATAGGGATGCTGGATGCATTTAACAATACATTGCATCAACTATCATCAGGAGCAGAGTTGCCCAGAGAAGGATTTAAATACACACACTGGGGAGGAAGAATTCAGTGCAAGATTCTCTATTTTTTGACACAAAATGGACATTAGTTTTCGAAGCTTCATATTGTGATCTGCCATGCCCAATGTGGACCAAAAGTGTGCCAGATACCTGGTTAGTTTTGCTGATTTATAGTGATCTTCCTGAAAGCAGTAGATGTCTTATATATTATATATAAATTCAATGCTATTGTGCTCAGTATGTTGAGAAGAAAACTCTTTCGTTCCTCTCCAGTAGCTTAAGTTTTATGCATTTGTTCCCCTTCCATCATGAATTCAAAATTCAAGTTGTAGTTCACATGATAAAACTGACATGAAATTCTACAGCAGCCGAGTTCTTATTGTATTGGGTTTAATGGGTGAAAGTTATTTGCCAATAAGCTTAATATTTCATCTGCTTATTTATTTATGTATTAGTGAATTTCAGCACTTAAATTTGAATTGGTTGTGTAGGTTCTCATTAGCTTTATACAGGGTAGGTAAGTACAAGTATGAACTTACTACAGGAATCAACCTTTAATGGATCTTATTGTGTTTATTTGTTCTCTGCTTTGCATATTCTTACACCATGCATAAAAAATAAAAATCTTGGGATTTTTGATCATATTTCCCCATTATACAAATAATTTCAACACCATGATTTAAGACAAAGCAACCCACATGATTGGCATCCCATCCACCACCTGAAACACTCACTATTTCCACCACTGGTATAATGTAGCTGCAGTGTGTACTGTCTACAAAATGCACTGCAGCAGCCAGCCATCACTTCCTTGACAGCATCACCTAATCCTGCAACCTCTGCTTCTGAGAAAAACAAGTTGTAAAGGGACTTGGGAACAGCACAAGCTCCCCCCTCAAATCACATACTATTTGACTTGGGACTACATTGCCGTTCCTGTACTGAAAACTAAAAATGCTGAAGATCACAGCAGGTCAGGCAGCATCCACGGAGGAAAAGCAACCTAACGTTTTGAGTCTAGATGAAAAATCATCTGGACTCAAAACATTAGGTTGCTTTTTCTCCAATGTTAGCTTGCATTCTCTCCATGGATGCTGCCTAATGCGCGTGATCTCCCGCATATTTGTTTTCAGTACAGAATTACTGTACAGTACAGAATCCAGCATCTGCAGTAACTTGCTCCTACATTGCTATTCCTGTCTTGTTGCTCGGTCAAAATTTTGCAATTTTCTACCTAAAGAACAGTGGAGAAGTACCTTTGCCAGATGGATTACAGCGGTGCAAGAAGATGGCTCACCACCATCTTTTGAAGAGCAATGAGCACTGTTCTATTGCAGAAAGCTAGTCGATGAAGAACAGAATCCAATCTTTATTCAGTCTTCTATTTATTTAGAATGAAACATTATAAGCAACACCTCCCAATTTACCATATAAAAGTTTGAGTTTTTTTTATTTGTGCTGAGCGAAATTCCATTTATGCTTTTTTCTTGCATATAGTTAAATGAAACTGACATAAGATTTACAAGGAGTGGGTATGAAATGCTGACCTTGCCAGCGATGCCCACATCAAATGAATGAATTGAAAGAAAATAAGCTACAGTGGAGATGACTACAATTCCATTTTTTTTTGCTGTAAAAGTGCTACATTTAGAATTAAAATTATCTATTCTATCCTCCTTGTATTTCAAATGAATTGCTCCCAAGAAATCCAATTTCTTCAAGTAAGACTAGTTTAATATTGGATAAATTTTAACGTTATTTATTTTGCCTTTTGTACAAGCTTGTAATCTTTCACAGAGTCTAATATTGAGAGTAATCAAATTAAGCCAGCCTGGTATAAAAGGAGAAATGGTGATACTCCAAAGTAGAACAATCAACAACTCAGAAGAAGTCAGGCTAGGATTTGCTTGGTGACATCTTGAACAAAAAGATCCTACCTAAAACTTTAACAAAAAGAGAAAGTGCTGGACTGATTTTCTCCAGCACTTCCTGTTTTTGTTTCAGATTTCCAGCATTCTCAGTTCTTTGTTTTATCACCTAAACTTTATTCTCTATCTTAAATTGGTGCATGCATTCCAGCAATTTCTATTTTAATTTTCAATTCCAGAATCTTTTTAAGTGAAGTCTGTGTAATAATACTGATCAGTTAGAGAAAATACATAATAATCTATTTTTTCACATGCATTTAACTGCTCAAATGCCAATAAAAATAATTTGATGCAGTAATTTGAGGTAATTAACGTTGAGAGAGACTCAAGGACAAAACAGCATATTCAAATCGTCAATGATAGCTGCTTCTCAGTTTAATTTGTATCGTTAGTTTTTCCTGTTTCTACTTGTCTGAGCTCATTCTACCACACAAATACTCACAAGACTTTGATGTTTCAGATATCAGCTGGGAAAATTACTTTAACCCTCGCAGAATGTCAAATTGCAAATTTTATCTCAAATTCCACTTTACAGTATCTCAGTGTGCATTTTCTACAAACACAGAAATGATTTTTTAAAAACATTCAATGAAGGCATTGCTTTATGTTCCCTCTTGTAACCTTTCCTTGGCTTGAATTTATAATTGAAACAATAGAACAGATGCATTTTTTTTTTGCATGGAAGAGAATTGAAGCAGAAGATTGTATTAAACTGCACAATTTTTTTTATTATTTGTGCAGTATCCTTCCAGATCCAGTGACTTAGAGTCATGTTTTGTTGTACTTTTTTCACGTTGATTCGTATTGATATAAATTTAATTTCCTGCTTTTAAAATCAGACCATGTTGCTGAATTATTTGGAATATGCAAGAAAAAAAGTTTGTTTTGATGCCAAGGACACAAAGATAATATTGGGTCTTTTACCTCCTATTGAGCTCAGGTGTGTTTTTCATCTCAAAACATTAAATAAATAATTAAAGCTCTCTATTCCCACCCAAATGCATTCATTGAAATGTAATCCCAAAGCAGTTCTAGTTCGCCAAATGTGTTGCATTTTGATTAGTTTTCATCAAAGCTGATTTATGTATATTAGTTAAGTCTGAAGCATTTTTGAGATTTACAGACAAGTAACACCAGTTCAGCATTTTGCGCAAAAAGATATTAATTGGACCAAACTCGTGAACCTCTTCTGTAATTATGTTAGTAACCTAGCAACATTTTTATTTGTTCTTTCTTGCAGATGATATGGAGGCCATTCCAGTCAAGCAGTTTGTAAAGCACATAAATGAACTGTATACCAATAACCAACATGGATTCTCTGAGGAATTTGAGGTAAGTTGGTTTTGCATTAATTCCTAAAATTTTTAAGAATAGGTGCCCTTTTTGCTTTTGTAGTGATTTTTATTTTGGGTAAATTAGAGATTGGTCACTACAGAGTACTATTTTATGGTGTAATATAATTTAAACAAAATTGTATAATGGAAGCAAATGGCTGAAACAACAAAAAGAGTTCCATTCCTTTTTTTTCTATTTCACAGTTGTAATAATTTATAACTTTCTATTTCACCTCTTAACTTATAATGTGTTACTTTCCCACAGTAATTTATGGGAATAATAAAAGTGTTTATTCCTTTGAAGTTCCATAGTTTCATTTTGAACGCATAAAAATATGTGGAGATTACTGGAAACAATCCTGGATCATTCCATGTATGAAGACAAAGTATACTGGATGGAGTACAATACTAGGAAGTTTTAGATTTTTTTTTAAAATGGGGAACTATATTTCAGATTGGTTCAAGAGGCACTTTAGTGTTCCTTGCTGTCAACTGTCTATGACTGCACAGTTTTTGCATTTCCTGCTTTAGGGCTGGAAAATACTACACTGGTTTAAGCACAGCATATGTCTGCATCTTGGAGCACTCTCATGAAGAACTGTTGCTGAAATTCGGATTGGAGTGCTGCTTGTTCTCCTGCATGTCATCCCTTTCAAGATTCAGAGAGCCTCATGATATCCACTTCCTGCATTCTTCGATGTGATCTCTTCCAGCTGCTGTGCTTCATTGACTGTTTGTGTATCTTGTTGAAAAAAACCCATATTTTAATCTTTTTTAACCTTCTTCAGTCTCGATTTTAAACTCCCAAGATGGTACAAATCTTGCCTTTAGAAAAGCAGGACAATTTCGGACCTGGGTTGGCCCATGAGCTCCCACAGTGACTGCTCTTGGTTAAGTAACAAGGAAGCATACTTCAAAAAATTGATCCCTTCCCATAGGTTAGATTATTTTATCTTCCTTCCGTCACTACAGCTGAATTAGCTGAGCCAGGCCAAGCTCCCCTTTGGTTGCCATCACTTTTAAACAATGATCAGACACTTTGATTTTTCTTTCTGCATTTATTTAGCATATGCCCATTTTCTGGTACACAGTACTGACAGTGCTGTCAGGAATTTCTCCATCCCTGCTGAATACCATTAATATTGACATACAATTCAAGTACGTTTTTTATGCTTTGTCATTTAGCTTATACCATTAAGTGCATTTAAGTAAGTATGAAATTGCAACATCAGTTCTCCTTTTGCTAATAGTATTAGAAGGTTGGAATTCAAAATTTAGAAGGTCCTGTAAATGGGCACTTCTTGAGAAGTACTAATTAATTATTGGTTTTGTTGTGTTCTGTAACGGCAATTAAATTGAAAAATCTCATTTCAGAAAAAGATCTGTCAATGTGAAATACAATCATAAACACAGTCCTTAATGAGAACTTAAAATGTGTTTCAAACTCTATAACAATTCACGCAGTTATAAAATTGAATATGGCTGAATTAGAGAGCAAAAGATTAAAAGGTGATGGAGCACAACAGTCATTTGAATTAATGAATTCATTTTTCATCACACATCATGATTTGTTTATTAGATGAAATTATTCCACAGTATGTTTAATGGTGTAACAAACAGATGTGATTAATAGCAGTGGCCTGCCAGATCATGAATAATAGATTTTGGCTGATTTGAATTAGATTGTCTTGATCAAAAGCAATTCTCTTGGGGCAAATGTTTGTCCTGCATAGTGTCAACATTGTTAAAGGCTTTTATCTCTGCTCAATCATTTAGCTGATGGTTAGTCAATGCCAATAACTTTCTAACTGCACACTTCTGCTTTTCATGCAAATAGCCAAATAATTGTCAAAGTGGTGCACTTACCGTAGAATAATGTACTGTTTGTGTACCATGGAGTCATATTTACAACGAGATTTGTAGCCAAGCCCATTAAGTCAGTTGAATCAAAAGTACTTAAGGCTTTATTTAGTTGAAAATATATTTCTTTTTCTTAAACCTACCCACCTTTGCATATCATGCCCATTTTAGATCCACTACAAACATTTATTGAGCTGGTAGGTAGCTGGGTCATTGTCTCCCATTAACAGTGACCCAAGGGGAAACACTTACTAATTTTTTTGCTTCCCCTTTGCCTGGCTACCACTCTCAAGGAATCATTTGAGATTGGGAACTTGTCATGCTGGAGAATTATGATTGCAAACATACCTTATTTTCCCTGAGTGTGTTGAGTGTTTGCACAACAACAGTGTGTCACTGGGCTGTTAACTGCTTCTCTTGATCTAATTCTTCAGAAAGCTATTTTCTTCGGGCTGCTTTACAAAAACGTATTTAATAATTGGTGCAGTCTAAAGGTCAGCTCTGTTGTTAACAAACAAGTGCTTTATTCTGAGTTTTTAATCTAACTTTGTAGTGAGAAAATAAACCATCCTAAAATAGACAAACTAAAGTAAAAATGAAATCTAAAGATCCTCAGAACCCAAGATTTGGAGTCAATTGTTTTATCAAATATTTGTACAAGTAGTTAGAGTTTTTAGGACGGGTCACTGATCCAATTAGTGCATTAAGTTATGTCTGACGCTTAAAACATTCTTTTTGCAAACTATTTTAACATTAATATGGGAATATAATGTTATTAACCTTCTTGTTCACTGAAGTCTGGGCTGTTTTATGGGTTCCTGACTGCAGTTCTAATCTCTGGTGAAACTGTGATTTTCTATGCAGTATCCGCGTAAACTGCAGAATAATTTGAAGTATATATAGATATATATATGTTTACAACAGTCATGTACCATGTTATTCAACATCTGAAATTTGTGTTAGAAAAATAAAGATTAATATACTGTTCTCAAAATAACCTGTCTTTTTATATAATTTGATGAGAACAGTCTATATAATTCACTGAGTGAACTGCTGGATACGGGGAGCGGGGAACCAGTTGAGCAGTTCCAATTGACATAGCCAAGGAAAGCAGTACAGGCCATATTATTACTATGTTACCCTTTGTTGTACCCCATGATTGATTTAAATAACGCATTTTCACCTACAAGTAATTTAGTTGCTACTACTCAGGGTTATATTTTTCGTAATAGTGTACAATATATTTTTTAACTTCCAAAAACAGAATCAGCTCAAGAGGGTGTTTTGAATGAGATAATTAATCTCAATTATCATCTCATTAAATCATCAACTCAAAATGCAATTAAGTTTCTTACTAATCAATTCATCAGTTTATAACATGCATTCTCTGCATTATATTTTCCCATAAATATATAGAGGGGTCAGCACTAAATTACTTATTGTAAGGTGCTTCTGCAGATTTTTCCCACAAAATAACTTTGAAGGTTACATCTTGTAGAATGTGTTTCCTCCCCTGAAATAAAGTGTATGAAGTAGAAAAATAGACAAGCTAAGGTCAGAATCAAATTATTTCCATGTTTTTGGTTTTTTAAATGTCCAACAATAATTGAGGCTTCTTACTTGAAGTTGTTCATTTTCAGTGTCTCAATAATTAAGATTTGTTGCACTATTAAAAGTTTATCTATACTGAATGGACAGGCCCCAACTTTCCTTGGTATGTCTAGTGGGCATATATCATGTAAGTACACCAACTTTATGCTGCTCCATGTGTTTCATTGCTGAATCTCTTGACAAAATACAAGTATAGCAGAGCTTGTGGAGGAAAAGGAAAACTTGGACAGCAACTTCTTAATTTCCAAATACAAGTGCATATGTGCAATCGCCAGAAGTTGCTGTATGATTTACTCTTTAATAATTGTGGGCGGCACTTATTTTTACAACAGAATTGGGCCATTGAAATTGGGGCATGTTTAAAGGTAACCTTTTCAGCATGGTATTAACTGAGTGTAGATTTGCATGCAATTGAACTGTTGTTGGATTATCTAACTATCTGTTAAATTGCTTCTTTCTATGCTTGTCATATTATGTTTGTTTATGTCAATATAGTAACACACAGTCACTAAGCAACTCCACAGAAGAAATTTGAATGCCAAATGTAATGAAATGCTCCATTCCAGGAAAGGATCACTAATCAGTTAGTTATGTTTAACATGATGCGTGACTTTTACAGATTGCATAAAACATGAGAGTTAAGTGGATAGCTTTTACAATACTAATGACACAAGTAATAACTTATAACCAGAAGCATTCTCTTGATTTGTCCTTTTAAGCCATTTAAAAATACTGCATCTTGCCATGCCTACTTCTTCCCTTAAACAATGCAGTGTGATGCTCCTTTAACTGAGAAAGGAAGCAATTCGTGAAGGGATCCACTTCTGAAGCACACAGTGGCATTTCCTGTTCAACTAGAGCTGACAGAACATCAATCAGCATATTATGATCATATTATAGAGGTCTTGCTTTTCCTGAGACCATGAAGAACAAGACTTTACTGCCAGGGCAATGCTTGGATTCTTATGCAGCTCTTGTTATGATAGTGATGTGAACATAACATATCAAGCATAACAAATTTATTAAGACTCTTAGCAACACTTAGTATTCTGTCATTTGACACATCCACCTGTAACCCTGTTAACATTTGATTCTGCAATGTCTGGTGTTGTCTGAGGAGCCATTTTCAAATTCCTCATCATTATCTGAAATATGAGGATGAAAATTTGATGGTTTATTGAAACATGCAATCATATCAAGATAATCCCTGGAACAAAAACAAAAGTCGCTGGAAAAGCTCAGCAGGTCTGGCAGCATCTGTGAAGAAAAAATCAGACCTAACATTTCGGGTCTGGTGACCCCTGGCTTTTCTTCTTCACTATGAACCATCTTCTTGAATCCTTGTCCTCTGTTCATCCACTCTTGTTGCAATAAGAAATGTGAGGAATTCATGGACTTCTTTAATATGCTGGCCACCCATTCAGGTATCTCTGCTCCTCTTATCCCTTCCACCAAACCTCCACCAGTCCAATATTTCTCCATGCCAATAACCATTAATTTTTCCTTTTTCCTCTCAGTTTTGTCCCTGTCACACTAATGGTCCCTGCAAGCTCATTGTGTCCTGAGATTCTCTTTCTAACCTCTTAAATCAGTCTTGAAAATTTAAATTGACCAATTATCCACATTCTTTTGGAGGAGAGACTTGCAGATTTCACTGAGTAAAAGTGCTTTCAGTGTTTTTTTTTGATAAGATGGCCTACTGTAATTCTTAAGATAATGTCCTGTTTTCGATTTTCATACCAGGACTAAACAGTTTCTTTTTATCTATCCAATCAAATTCTTCTATCGTATTAAACACCTCTTCTAAACTCAATGAAATTAAAACCATTTATGCAACTTGACTTTTTTTACAGTCTACTATCACTCTCGGCAACTGTGTGGAGTTTGCACATTCTCCCCATGTTTGCGTGGGTTTCCTCCAGGTGCTCCAGTTTCCTCCCGTAGTCCAAAGATGTGCAGGCTAGGTGGATTGGCCATGTTGAATTGCCCATAGTGTTCACGGATGTGTAGATTAGGTGGGTTACAGGCAGATGGGTCTGGGTGGGATGCTCTGAGAGTCGGTGTGGACTTGTTGGGCCAAGGGGCCTGTTTCCACACTGTAGGGAATCTACGATTCTAAATAACCTGTGTTGTGAGGACCCCAGGCCAATAAACCTTTCCTGAAGTTTAGTGCCCAAGTACTCCAAATGTGAATCCATCAAGGCTCTGTACAATGGAAACATATTATCCTCAATTCAGAGTTCCAAACAACTTGAGATAATTACTAACATTTCATTGATCTTTTTGATAACTTGTTGTGGTTGTGCACTAGCTTTTGGTGATCGATATACATAGACATTCAAATTCCTTTGCTCCATTACACCTCCTTCAGCAATAAGAAATTTCTCTGATTTGATCCTATGTGGATAATCTCGAACTCCACAAAATTAATTTTTACCCACCATATTTCTGCCCCTTCATTGAATTGGACTGTCTATTTTTGATTTTCTGTTTATATATACACATTTTATTGTGCTGCCTAACTTTGTGTCATCTTCAAACTTATGTAACCAACTCTTTAGTCCCCTTAAAGTTGTTGATATGTTTGTAAAGAACTGAGGTTGCAGCAAAGATCCTTGGAGCAAGCATAGCACTTATTATATTACACAAATCAGATATAAAGCCTTTTTCCCAGTGTCTCAAGCTTATCAATCCATGTTGCAAGGTTCACTTGGTCTCATTTTTGCTCAAAATTGTTTCAAAGAAATCTGATCACATGTCTTTCTAGGTGAGCATTATTTTTATCTTAATCATGTACTTGCAATGCTTACCCATTTCTGATATTCGACTGTCTGGTCTATGTTTATCTGTTTATTTGTATTTCTAGTTTTGATCAGAGATGCTAAAGTGACAAGCTTCCAGTTCTCTGGCACTACTTTCAAATTTAAATTTAAATTTAAAAGATTGTGGCCAGAATTTTCTGATTTTTTTCTGTGCTGTCTGCTCTCAGCATTCTAGGATGGATGACGCAGGATGCACTGCCTGTTGTACTTCAAATTCTACCAGGTTTTGCACTATCACTCCTTTCATAGTTATTCATTTTAATTGCTGCACTACTCCTTCTTGTACTCCCCTGTCCATTATTCTCAAAGTGTTATAATATGCAATGGTGATATTTTTTCACAAAACCATTAAAGGTTTAATTGGATATTACATTTTTCACTATTACAATATCAAAGAGTTCCATCATTTTGAATATATCCTGTACACAGGAAACAGTTTAAGAACCCTATGGCCAGGCAATAGTTCTAGGTAATTATATGTATACCTTAAATATAATGTAAAATAATACTGATGAGCTAAAGCAATAAAAGATGCAAATTACTGATTTTTAAATGTAGTATTTTATTTTTGCAGCAAACCAGATTTGTAACGATATAAAGTAGCGACTCTGTTAAAAAAGATAGGTAAACTGAATTCCTTTAATGGGTCAGTTGGTTAAATAATTGATCAGCTGAACTGTACAGATCAAGATCAAGAATCCCATTGGGATTACTAACCTGTACTAACTTAATGGTAGAGATGCCACAGTTGAACTCAATGCTCTGAATTAGGGAGGGTTTCCTCCTTTTTCTAATAACTGTCTTGTAACCGTTGATAGTAATGAATCAGTGGCTTTTGAGAGAGGGTTGGGTCCGATGCACGTGATACCCAAAGCAAAAATGACAGTATGTCTGTCACTATCAGAATCCACAATTGACAATAGCGTCTAGTACCCAAAAGATAAAAAAAATCTGGCTTTTCCACCCCTCATGGTTGGCCAGTGAATCCTGCTGGAAAGTCTAAATATGTTGAAGTCAGGTGAGGAGTGGGCTCCACTGTGATGCTTGCTGCAGTTGAACAAGCTGATAAAGTAGCAGTGTTGAGACTCTCATATTGTCATCTGTCTGAAATACCAGAAGGCTGCTAGAACTGCACACCAGCGTGAAACAGCACCTTTAATGAAGGAAAGGGAACTGAGGAAAGAATCTGGAGAAAAACCTACCTGTTCTGAGATTAATACTACCCAAAGCATACAATTCTAACAGATCACTCCCATCTGCTCCAGTTGTCAGGAAGCTTTTATTCAAGCAAAGAAAAACTTGACAAATGAGTTTTGCATGTCTTGAATTTCACTAATCTATTATCAGAACTAAATATAAAGTAATTGCATACCTTTTACATTGTTTGGTATTGATTATTTCAATCCATTGCGCGTGGAGTAATTTATTATGCTGTTTCCTGAATATTAGCACTAACTGTTGACTAAATAATATTTTGGTTTTTTTTTAAATTTTCTGTCTTTCCCATCATCAGACCCTGTCTTCTTTGAAAAATGGGCATTTTGTAGTGAGCACATTGCCCAATCAGCTGTAAACTATGATGAGTGAATGAGTAAATAGTTATCCCGATTCCCTAGGATTTCTTTATTGTAAATTGCTACTGTGGGAACTGTCTAGACATTGGCCATGTATTTATAAATGATTTATCCTTTCGCACTATATCTAATTAACCTGAAAATGTTTTATTGACATTTTAATGAACTTGAGCAAAGGAACTTCTTTAGCTTCTTGTCATTAGTCAATACTTGATGAACATAAGAACTAGAGCAGGAGTAAGCCATTTGGTCTAAGAGCCTGTACTATACAACAAAATCATGGCAGATCTTTTATCTCAACTCTACTTTTCTCATTGGATTGTTCCCACAAATTCTTCCCATGAAGTTAAAGGTTTAGTTATATTGCAAAAACAAAGCCAAATCGAATTTAAGTTTGACCATTCAAGATTGCACACATAATTTCCTAAATAATATTTTGAACTGAATCATATAAAAAGGATTAAAAAAAGCATTTAAGCACACAAGTATACAGATATATTCACACAAACTAAGCATTGCCTGAGCACAGCATAGAAAGAAAAGTCTGGATGGAAAAGCAACCCCTATTAAATGTTCCTTCAGTCATATGATTGGAAGAATAATAAGTTTGGGGTATGTGATCTTCATGTGATATTTCACTTTAAATTTTCTGTTCTGTGCTCCTAAGGTGTTTAATACCTAGCAGTACAGATGAAAATCTACCCCATTACTTTTATAAGTAACTACTAAATTCTTTGGAATTGGAACACACACAACGGTTTAAATTTATATAAATGCAACTACTATCTACAATCTTTTTGATCATTTTTATCATTGCAGAGAAAGAAATGCACATTTCATTTTGTCCCATTTTTTCAATCCCTGTCACTTGTAAAAGAGCTACCTCTTGCTTATGTACAATATCCTCCAGTGCCCCACCAAAGGAATATGCTTTTCAAAGGGGTTTTGTAACTGCAACAAAAGAGACTTCCAACAGATTTGGATAACAATCATGAGTAGAAGCTAAGCTATTTCTGTTTCCCAAATCCAAGGATACTGAGGCTAATTGCAATATTTCAATTGCTGTCTAAGATGTGAGGAGCAGACAGTGCAAGTCTGATATCCAAGCAGCAATTTTCTAGTCTGTATGGCTGAACTATTGACTGCGTAAATTTTTGAGTCTTTGTAGGGATTTAATTTCCATTTGAACCATAATTAAATAACCAGCGAATTTTTGAGATAATGTCTTTAAAAAGCCTGAATTATGTATTTTTCAAAACCAAGTTTTGTATACAATAATCTTTGTACCATACATGAACTATTGAATGCAATAATATGTTTTGAAATAGAAAATCAATAAAGTTTTCCTTTTGCTTTTTCTACTTATAGGAAGTGCAACGCTGTACAGCTGATATGAACATCACATCAGAACATTCCAACCATCCAGATAACAAGCACAAGAACCGATACATCAACATTGTAGCTTGTAAGACTATGCAGGATTCTAATATATTCATGCTTAAGTCAATCTTTCAAAAATTTTGTCCAGAAATTTCCTCACATTGGGTGGTTTGAAATACAATATCTATAGAAAGTATAGGGTGTTCAGTTAAGATTTTATATTAATTAAAAATATTTCTGAAAATGCTTATTGAGTCCTAAATAGCAACTGTTACAAAATAGGTTGGTGTTAGTCCTTGGTTAGTGTTTATTCATTCATTCATGAGAGCTCTGCCCAAAGTCAGGTCTTCTTGACTGATTGTTTGCCAATGCTTCCTTGTGAGCCATTTTCTTGCATTTTTTTATGTCAGTGGTTTGCTGTTGGCTTCCACTCTCAGAGCTAGGACAAATAGATAGGTCCCAATTCCACTTCAGCTGGAATGGGCATTAAACCCACACTTTTTGGCATCATTGTAAACCACATACTAGCCAACTGAGCTAACCATCTCTCTCTTTTTTTACAGTGTACTGGTTTATTTGTTGAATATTCATGATAGCTTAAAATTTGGAAAGTAATATTTGAAATATCTATGAAGATCAATGTGACTTATTCTTGTGGATTAATATTTCTCCTTCTCCAGATGATCACAGCAGAGTTAAATTAAGACCAATACCAGGAAAAGATTCAAAGCATAGTGACTACATCAATGCCAATTATGTTGATGTAAGTCATTCTTTTATATTTTGTTATATTTCTCTCATTTGTCATGATCATTCAATTCAAAGAATTCCAGTGTTAAATTAGAAACTGAATCAATCATAGATTTGAACATTGCTTGCAAATGTTGTTTCATTTCTAAGTTCTAGGTTTAAGTCCAGCTAAGGCAAAGACAATTAAACCAATGAGCTGAAGTTTTCCAGCCCCTGAACAACTTGGGCAATGGCAAGTCAGTTGGGAAAATATGGTGAGATTGGGAAAATTAGGTTCCCAACATGGAGAAAGAAAATGTTGAATTTTCCACCCAAGGTTTGAACAGCAAGACATGAATCTCACTAGTGAGCAGCAAGAGGCCTATTTGCATGTGTTAACATCTCATTATTATCTATTCTTGCCTCATTTCTATGCTATTTCCTATTCTCCTGTGTGGCAAAGAAATACTAGATGATAATAATTCCTGACACAAAAGTCTGGCCAGGTTTGTCGTAGTTCCACTGGCAGCTTGCTTCCCCCGGCCTCTATCTCGGCCAGCAGTCCCTAACATCTCTGGCACACACCATGGGCAGCAATCATCTGACTCCTCCAGCATCCACCATTAGACATACAACAACCTCACCACATCACTGTGGCACACCTCTGAATTTTAAAGTAAAATTCTATTCAGTACTGCAATCTGGAGTGCACCAACGCCTTTCGTTCTAATGCTGTTGCCAGGCTGCTTTGCATGATGGGATAGGAGCTTGTCTCATCCATCAGAGCAGGGTGCACCTCAGGGTCTTTGCTGCTTCCTCGGTGCACACACACACTTCTCGCCTATTTGGATGCTCACAGCATCTCTGCTTTGCCTTTTTGCATTTTGTGCCTCATTCAGAACTTACAGGCTCACAGTACCTGTGTCTTGCCATGCCTTTAAATGCAGATATAATACCAGGTAGTTAGTCATGTTTGCCAGCAGTAATCAGTCAAGGGGGTGGACATGTTTACACCATGCAGTATCAATGTCACATCTACAGCATATACCAGCAAACATACTGAATATACTTCAACCAAATAGCCATGTCCCAAATCTAAGGGGAGGACTGCTCAGGCAAGTCAAGGGGAACTTCTTAAGTCAGGATGTCCCACAACAGTTAGACAAAGGCAGTGTTTAATCTCAGTCTAGGGCTTAGACATGACCATTTGGCTGCTTGGGGTGGCCTGGGCTACGGGATCGTATCATTGCACTCCAGGGAGTGGGCTATGGTCATTATTCAGTGGTCCAGTGCAGTCAGTCTGCACTGAACTGTAAATCAGTCAGTGAATTGCACAGAGACCTGGACAGTCATCAGTAAGGCTCCAAGTTGGTCAGGGGGTCCACCAAAGTCAGTCCTGGGGATAGTCAGTGGCCCTGCTGTCATGAGCAATTTGGAGAAGTCAAATGTGGGGTTTGGAGGCAGCTCCTGCTGGGTGTGGAGGGAACCATAAGTGTAATAGAGGGAGCAGAAACTCAAAATGTCATGATAGGAGATGATAGTGCATTAGACAACATGGGCTACTGCAGGATGAAGGGATCATCAATGGTCATCACCACCCTGGTTGTGAACAGGCCAATATGTCACAGTGGTCGGCATGACTGAGCTGTAGGCTCAAGGCTCAGAGATAATGTTTGGAAATGAAGATTTAAATGAAAGAAGTTGTTTGGGAACGTGTGGAACTAATCTGGTCAACAAGGAGTGAGAGATTTTGGGGTTACCTAGATTGACAGGATAAGCCTGCAACTCTCAGCAAAACGTGACATGCATTGCCTTCCATCCTTATCTGAATTGAAAATGCACAATGTAAATGAAAAATGGCTGCCATAATACATGGATTGGGCAGAGTAAGTTTTTTTCATTCTGTCTGAAGATGCAGTTCTATTATTCAGTGACATGAGGAGAGGGCAATTGTATTAATAATGTACTTACAAAGTACAGGTTAAAGATATTTGTAATCATAGAGAACTGTACAGTGACCAACTGCATGGAATATGCATTTTGACGATAAGTTGTGACCGTGTCATTTCACCATCATAAGTTGATCATAGTCATCTCTGCGAAGTAGAGGAAATCACAGACAACCTTCAAAGTATCACCTGCAGGGTTTAATCAACAAAGTCAATCCACTGTCTTATATACTGTACAGGAGCTAGAAGCTGATTTCCTATTGAACGGTATGTTTTTGACAGCATCGTCTTATACACAGCGCTGCCTTTCTTGGGTGATGGGGGCAGTTGAGGGGAACAGCAATTGTACCATAGTGACAATCTCCTCATGTGTTTGCATAAAATGGATTGCACTGCATACATCGGAAGAATGTCAATTCTGTCAGTGGTCCACGTACAGGCTTCCCCATGGTTTTCTTTATTGGAATCCTTCATGTACCACTGTATGGAGGACTGTGCTACACCATTATCTGTGAATGCTGACTGCTCAAATTACTAAGCTCGTGTTCAGTTTCTCATCGTCTCCAATCATCGCAGTTGCTGCAATGCTGCAAAGGAGCAGAGAAATGGAGGAGGAACGGGTGGATCAGAAAGTCCAGGGCTAGCAGCAATCTCTAGCAGCTGCTGAACAGCCCCCACATGAAGAAGCCACAAGTGAAGTACCCCTCCCGATGCAGAGGAGGTACAGTAGGCTGAGAGTCTATTTTCCTCAATGTCATTTCCTCCAGATGAATGAGACACATTTTCACCACGGTCCTGGGACACCATCACAGAACTGTGGCATCTTTGAAGCAGGACTTGTGACCTGAAGGGGTCAGTGACTATTTCTATTCCAGTAGTTGTCGAGGTGCAGCTGCACCAATTTTTTTCTGTGACTGGCTGCTTCTAAGGATCTACTGGGACATATGTGGGATCTCACAATGGTCAACCCATAAATGTATCAAGGTTGCTGCCTGACCCACTGTGATCTCCAGCAGTTTTTGTTTTCAGTGCAGATTCCAGCATCTTCAGTAATTTGCTCTTACTAATGTATTGAGGTTGTTGTTGATGCAATTTGTGAAGGTCATACCACTTTACCTTGTGCCCCATTGACAAAGTCAGTGCTATTACCCAGCAGTAGGCTTTGGCAATGCAGCTGGCTTCCCCAAATGGAGGGCGCTATAGACTCTGCAGAAGAGTGCCATGTGTGATGATATAGTGGCTTTAAGAGGTATATTTTGTCCTGGGCTTTTTTATGAAGACAGATTGAGACAGAGATACCAAGTGGCGTGCTTCAAGCCAGTAAAGTAAACAGCTTACAAGGCTTTGGGTTTTTGTTTTAAAGTAGGAACAACAGAAGCAGCCTGAATGAGTGGGTCAAACACCCACAGAACCAGGACTTTTAGTTTAGCTTTCAGTAATCACTGGGTCTTGATGCTGGATGTGGAAGTACCCTACCTCTCTCTGTTACAGATAGAAGCTGAGATTCTCTTCCTGCTGCTAGAATTGCATGTGAGACAATCAATTTTACTGTATTGCCTTTGCCATGGGTATGTTTATGGGATGTTACTATATTGGAACAGTTGGTGTTTAGTAGTTAGATAAACTATCATTCTGTAAAGTTTTCCAAAAGAGTTACATTATTCCAATCTTTTCTTTTGTTTGTATTTTAACTATAGTATATGAATAAATTGTGGTTTGCTTCAAGCCTGGTAGTTTGACATATCAAATTACATCTGGAATGCAACATCTGGCACTTGCCTTTAAAACAAGAAAAAGTTGGGGTCTAGGCTGTCTGTTTGACATGTTTTGAGGGGGTTTGATCTTGTCCATAACACACATCATAATGTGGTTGACTTCATCAGTATGGTTCTGTCCCATAAATGTACAAGTTGTCCATGATCATCACTACCACATCTTAAAAGTTTGCACCAGGTACTGTGGAAGTTATGTTGCCTAAATCCTTGAGATTTCTAATGTGACTACTTTATTTCAAGGGCTAGATGCCTTACAAGGATGGTTACTGGAAGATAACAGTTACCTTCTACAACCAAAGCTGATGACTCCATTACGCAATCCCTGACTGAGGCCAGATATAATATGTTCTTTCATTCCATGCCCATTCTTCCACTTGGATAGTCATGGAGCAGACAGTAGGTTTCCTGAAGATCAAGTTCTGATGGTTGGATCAGTATCAGCAGGGGTCCTTGCAGAACAATCCGAGTTGAGTACTGTACTGGAGGGATTGTATGTTTCTTTGATAATTGTTGTATGCTGTGGTCTATACAACTGGCACAGGCAATGATGGTATGGATGGATGCTGAAGAGCTTGTATAGTGGCTGTAGCCTTCTGAGGAGGAAGATGAAGGCATTAAGGAGGAGATACATCATGTTCAGTATGTTAGAGCAGTGCAATGTCAGATTCAAATTGCCAGACACGACTTGACAGAACCCAGTTCCAATAGATGTGACCTTGGTTTAGTGATCAATCATGAACTGCAAATTCATTGTTACTCAAAAGATAAGCCATCCCTGTAAGAAATGCAGCTTTTCTTTTCATCTGTATTGATGCTGCAAGACCTGCTGAGTTTCTCCATCTTTTTCTGTTTTTGTTTCAGACTTTTTCTTTACATATCTTGTTTATCAATAAAAGTTAATATATTCAGCTGTTTGAAGGCTTACCAGTAGGTGATGCTCCCACAATGAAAAATGACAAGATGTTACACTACGCTGAATGTTAGGGAAGTAGTGGCACACCCTTAGACAGAGTCCTAAGATGGTATGGCACTATGTAGCTTTGTTCTTGCAGCTGCAGTTCCATTGAGGTTAATCAAACAAGTGATTATGTAAATTAGCAATACAATTATGAGTCGAGATTCTATTTCCAATGAAGTGTCACCTGTGCCATCTACGTGCCCTCCTGCTACATGAATGTAAAGAGTTTTTATGGCTGGCAGAGATTGGCACAGCTGGACTTTAAATGGAGTGCCAGTGACAGAAATCCAAGAAGGTTCATGCAGTGTTGAGTACTTCTACCATTGATGAGCACTCAACATGGGCACAGTACCGTAGAGGTGTAATGCATTCATAATGAGGTGAGCAGTGGACATTGTGTGAGATAACTCGCCAGAGCTCACAGAGAGATAACATAAAGTAAAAGTGAATAGACCTTAGTCTTACCACACCATACAGCTGCTCTCTCATTAGAGAGACAAATGGTGGTGTTTCAACCTGAGAATCATCAAACCTCAGACAAGGGGATAAGTTGAGAAGGAGAGTCCTTCATAGTAACCTCAGTCATTGCAGGAATTGAACCCTCACTGTTGGCATCACTCTGCATTGCAAACCAGCCCTCCAGCCAAAAGAGCTCAATGACCCCTTTCACAGAGAAAAGAATCCTCCATGAAGCTCCACAATATTGACACTTAGGTTGAATTTTACCGAAAATTGGCTATCACTTATCTTCTTCTTTCTCTCATTCATTCTCTTATCCTTTATTTCATGTAATAGGCCTAAGTAAAACTAGCTAGTACGTCTTCCATCCAGTTTCTGGTGGTTGCACAAAAATGCTGTCATATTTTCACTAATCTTATAACTTTATTCATGGGAGTCAAAATGGCAGCTGGTTTTCTGAAATTAAAAAAAAAAATGCCCTTATGTGAACACCTTTTAATTGGAGTCAAAGGCACGTTGAACCAGGAAGAGTTTTGATCTGATTGTTGTCATTGGCCTTAGATTGTTTGAAATTAACTATGGGTTACAAGTTACATGACCTTACGCACAAACATAAGATAAAACTATATAATTTATAAAAACAGAATCTTACAGATAAAAAATTTGAAGTTAAAAATTTCTGGCAATTATATGGATGTGGACTATGTACATCTGAATCATTTAATCTTCAAATGGTACAGGGAAATAGCATAAATAGTTAAATGATGGCTCAGAATTTGCTGACTGAATAAGAGCGAGTTTAAAACCACCAGCATTTCAAAGCCTTCATACCCTGAAAGAGACTACCACGAACTTTAGTTTCACTCTTTAATTTTTGGGCTGAATGTCAACATTTTTTAATGTTGTTTCCTTCCATAAACAGGGTTACAACAAGTCAAAAGCCTACATAGCTACACAGGGACCTCTTAAGCCTACATTTGAAGATTTTTGGAGAATGATCTGGGAACAGAACACAGGAATCATTGTTATGATTACAAATTTAGTGGAGAAAGGACGAGTAAGTAAGCTTTTTAATTTGTAGATTTTCAGACTGTTGACTAAAATAAATGTTGATTTATCATTATTTATTTATCTATTGTATGAACATTATCAGAACAATTCAACTTTGAGGAGGAAAATATCAAACCAATTCAGTAATGGGTGTTGCAAGATTCTTACCTTCCACAACGTTTATGTAGCACCTTTCATAATCGCAGGAGATCTCAAAGAACATAATAGATAATAAAGTACTTTTAAAGTGTAGCCACTAGTGCAATGTGAGAAACACTAGCTGACTTGCACATAGTGAATGTCCCACAAACAACACTGTGATAATGTCCCAATAAGTTTTTTGTGATTGAAAGATAAGCTAGGACACCAAGAATCAATCCTCTACTCTTCTTCAAAATAGTGCTGTGGGATCGTTTACATCCAACTGAGAGGAAAAGCAGTCACACAGTGAAATAACTGCACAGAGGCTGGTATCTCGTCACCAAGTCATCCTTTATTTAAATGTGCACAGTACACTGGCTTGGCCAGCCAGCTCGGAGTCAGTCCCCTGGACTAAGCATATTCTAAAACCTCTGTTTATATATATATATTTTAAATTAACCTATTTTTCTAATCAACCTGTTCAGAGATGTTATTTCACACCTCTGGAGCAGGTGGGACTTGAACCATTTCACTACAAGAGGGCCTATTCCTGTTTATATTGGTCAGCCAAGGCTTCCTGATTGGCCCAGGGTTAACGACCCCAATCAGGGAACTCATAGTATATGAGATCCACCAGGCTTCAATCACTACTCACTGCTTTTCACTTCTTGTGAAGATAGTACTTCCGTTAGTGCTACACTCCCTCAATACTGCACTGTCACTGTTGATTTATGTGTTCAAACCCTAGAGTAGGACTTAGACCCACTACATTCTCACTCAGAGGCGAGTGTGCCAACAACTGAGCCAGGGCTGACATAGGTTACATTGTCATTTTAACATTCTGTTGTGGCATTGTCTGAACGGAATTAAATTTCCTTGTTTTGTGTGTTTCAGCGAAAATGTGATCAATACTGGCCAAGTGAGAACAATGAAGAGTATGGCAACATTATTGTCACCTTGAAGAGCACAAAAGTACGGGCATGTTGCACTGTACGCTGCTTCATCATTAGGAACACAAAAGTTAAAAAGGTAGAAATCCAAGGCTTGGCACAATTGAAAACAAAATGAAGGAAGAGCTAACTTTTATTTATAAAGTGTTTTTCACGTTCTTAGGATGTCAACAGTCTCTGAAACATAAACAGCAATTGCTGGAAAAACTCAGCAGATCTGGCAGCACTGTGGAGCAAAAGCAGAATCGCCAAGACCTGCTGAGTTTTTCCAGCAATTACTGTTTTTGTTTCTGACTTTTTGGCTTTTTTGTTTAATCTCTGTTTGAAATTTGGTCTCAGTTGTAACATAGGAAAATGCAGTAGTGAATTTGTATACATCAAAATCCCACAAACAGTAATGAAAGAACAATGGGCCCAGGTTTTCCGATGGCTTGACTGTCATTATCCCTTCATCGATGGGAGTTACAAATACAGAATCCCCATCACTGCAGTCTCTGAAGGAATTGCCTGCAAAATTGAATTTTCTGCTGGGCAATTCCTCTCTGACTGGAATCCTCCAAGAGTCTCCATTTAAATTGGAGAGTGTGGAGGGTTTGGATGAATTAAGTTAATAATCACTCAAACATTAGATCATTAAATATACAGTTGAATTCCTGAGTGACTATTCAACTGATCCCATACTGACTTTAAACAGCCCCAACTACAGCACCCCAGACCACTTACACCATCCAGATCCTGATCTGAGAACCATTTCCCCTGCCTCTGGACACAACCCCTCACCATTCCCTTGTTCTGCACATGACCACCACCCCTGCCTTGCCCCTGGCCTGACCTTCCACCCCAACTCTTTCACCATCAAACCTGACTCCTATCCCTCCCCACCTGATCTCGCCCCTGTTCCCTGCCACAGGACACACACATTTCCCTACCACCTACCCGCTGCCCCCCCCCCCCCCCCCCCCCCCCCCAACCCCCGACCTTCTCCTGCTCTTTACCTGACCTGATTCCTTCCCTAAACACTTTTCCCCATCACCTCTTATGCCTGGACATGCTACCCCTTTCCCCCAAAGTCAGACATGCTCTTCCCTTCTCCTAGTCCACAGCAAATATCCCCTCCACCCACATGCCACCTGGACTAGACCCAAACCCCCTTTTAGACCCGCCTTATGCCCACTTTCTCCTCCCCAATACAAGACTGCATCACTTTTACCTGGTACCTGGCACCCTACTTCCTTACAAGTTGGCATTCTATCCCAGCAGCCTACTCCCTACCCATCTGGCACCATACCCAGTTGGCACTTTACCCACCTGGTTCCCTTTGTACCTGGCATCCTGGTATCTTACTTAAGTGGCACCACCTAGCAGACTATCCTCACCCAATTGACACCCTACCCACTTGGCACCTTACCCACCTGGCACCCTACACCCTTACCGAACTAGCACCCCAACATCAAACTTACCTTATGGACTTATGGGTTGACAGCAGCTGTCAAAGTGACTGGCAGGACTTTTAAATTACTGAATAAGGCAGCTGACTGCTGTAATAAAGGGCATGGTTTGCCTTCCCCTGACAGTTCTGCACATTGAACAATCAGAATGGAAGCGTGGCTCTGTACTTCTTTGGGAATCCTGGTCAGAATCTCCTCAGACATGCGGAGCTCCCTCCTTTCGCAAGAAAGGATCAGAGTGGCGATATATGTAAGATTGAAGGTCCATGGAAAATCTGGCCCAGTATTCTTACTGACATTGATAAAGGAATAAATGTTTGCAAGGACATCTGCAGAACTCACTGTTCTTTTAGATCACAGGATCTTCCACCTCAACATGTAGCTAAGGACTTAGTTTAATGTCTTCCTAGAAGAATGCACACCAGTAGTCTTGGAATGTTTTTCGAGGACTAATCACAGATTAGTTGCTTGTCTCCTCTGCAGGCCTCTTCCACACTCAGATAGAGAATACTGTATGATCTGGGGAGATCTGCATAAGGGAGATTACAAAATTCAGTCAAAGAATATTAAATTTTGTCTGCTAACAGAATTCCAACAAAGAGCATAAATTAGAGATGTCATTGATTTCATTACTACTCAATCTTGAATTGTCATCTGAGAAATAAATGAATTTTCTGCGTGACCCCTTCTTTCTAACATGAAGCTCCCAGCCCTTTAAAGTCGAAGTAAGCATTATTAGTTAATTCTGTTCTAATTTTATTGGATTTATTATACTTTTATGAAGTTGTTCCAATATTCCTGTCGCTCATTTTTGGTGCTGTCATTGCATTTTGCAGTTGCAGAAGTATTACATGTGGGTGTTGGGTTTAGTTGTGATGTATGACTGTATGAATCATTGACACAGCTTCAGGTTTGCCAATCACTCTCCAAATAAAATTTCACACATTCACTGATGCAAATTAACTGCGGTTACAGGGACAAAAAGGAAACCCGAAGGGACGTCAGAATGAGCGAATGGTTACCCAATATCACTATACACAGTGGCCTGATATGGGGGTACCAGAATATGCCCTTCCTGTACTCACCTTCGTGAGAAAGTCATCTGCAGCTCAGATACCAGACATGGGACCAGTAGTGGTTCATTGCAGGTAATTAGAAATATTAATTTCTCCTCAAAGATTTGAAGGATGCCTATGTATATGTGACAACACATTTAATTTAGCTCATTGCATTAAATTAATTTTCATGTTACAGGATCATCTTAGAGAGGTCGCGACAATGATGTGCAGGAATTTCTGCATGGTTTCTGCACACTTATCATGCAATCCAGGCAGAATTGAATGAAGTAATTCAAGGGATTATAGAATTTAAAATCTGAGTGAATTATGCCTGTAACAATTTACCCTTGAGTTTCCACAACCTTTTAGGTTGAGTTCAAACATCAGTTCAGTTGAAGCAATGCTTCTCTCAAAAGTGGCCATGCCCACTGATTGGCATGGTGCATTCCTACCAATTGTACCAATCAAGGTGTTCATCATATTGTGTCCAGAAATGTGGGAGACCACTGGCATCCATGGTTGTGATGTTTTCTAATCAATCTGTTCAGAGATATTAATACACACCTCTGGAGAAGGTAGGACTTGAACCTAAACCTATACAGATACAGCCATGGCAGCACAAATGTCCTCAAAAGTAACTGAATTTGAGATATTTTTTAATTGTCTTGATCCGAAACACTTCTGAAGCATGTGGGGCTTCAACCTGGGCCTCCTGGTCCAGAGGTAGAAATGTTACCACTGCGTCACAAAAGACCCTTGAATCTCCAAAGCACTAAACACAACAACCTGCTCAAGAATTTTTTTTTTAATCAATCTGCTCAGATGTGCTATGACATACTCCTGGGGCAGGTAGAACATGGACTCAGGTATCCTGGTTCAGAGGTAGGGACACTGCCTTTACATCGCAAGATCCCTACATCCATGGTTGTAGATATTTTCTAATCAACCTGGTCAAAAAGGTTATGACACACCTCTAGAACAGTTAAGGCTTGACCCTGGGTCTCCTGGTTCTGATGTGCGGTCACTATCACTGCATCACAAGAGGGCCCCACCCCCTCCGCCTCCCCCCCACCCCCCCAACCCATGGTTGCGTTAATCCACCATTGATAACATATAGCTGCAGTCATCAGCAATCATTTAAAACCTCAATTGGATCCTTTTGTCAAGCTGATGCTACAAATACTTTACAGCACTTAAACTTCACTTTAACTTTGTTAAAATTCACTCAGTTGGTCTTCCCTTGTTTGATAAGACTTACGATCTACAAACAGTTGAAACCACTCAATTGCCTGTTTCTTCAGTTGCAGCAATTTCTTGAATAAAGTTTTCAGTATGAAATTAATTTAATCCTGTAATCTTGATACCTCAATGTTCGAATCAATAATCAATTACAGTCAAAAATGTCACCTGAGTGCACAACTTCATGGGAGATTTTATATCCAGCCTTGCGCAAATGATGTTGAGTGGACATTTTGGCAGGATTTTGCCTTGGCAAAATCAGTTCAGTGTCTAGTGCATTTCACGTTTATTTTCCCAACTGCACTACTGGCAGGATCTCCATTCCATTGTGAATAATAAAGACAAAGCAAAAGAAATTGAAAGGGGGGCAGTGCAAATAGTTGCTGAACATACTGAGTCATTGAATGATGCGACATTGGTTCAGGCCCTCCTTTTTGTGAGTTGCTGATTTTGTCTACCTAATTTTGTGGAAGTAAGAGTTTCACATAAATGGGGTTGTGGGGCAGGTAAGGTCCAGGAGTACTGGAAGCTCAATTATCACTTAGGGGTTGTCCTTTGTTATGCAAAACCAGCTCAAGAATAACATTGATATCCATTCACAACACTAGAATGACATACAGAAAGTGGAAGAGTAGAGGGAAAAATGAAGCACACATATCCTAAAAGAAATAACCATTAGCCCATTTCTGAAGAAGGGTCTAGGCCTGAAACGTCAGCCTTCCTGCTCCTCTGATGCTGCTTGGCCTGCTGTGTTCATCCAACTCTACACCTTGTTATATCAGAAATAACCATTAAGTTCTTTGGTCACAAAGCTGTGTGAGTGTTAATCAATTCTGACCAAACGTGATACTTCCAAAACGAAGATAGCTTTTGTCAATAATTACACTTGCATGGCCAATTAAATATTTTGCATTGAGCCAATTATTAATGAATAAAGAGAACAGTCATTTTTAATCAAATGTTTCCATGGAATTAACAAAAATCTCTTCAAGCATGCATAGTAATTTAATTAACATAAAATATCATTTGATCTTGCAGATAGATTTAGTTTTTAAATGGCTTTTGCTGCACTCTGTATCATATCCTTGTTCTCTTTATTCCCTATCTAGTGCTGGTGTTGGCAGAACTGGAACATACATTGTGCTTGATAGCATGTTGAAACAAATAAAAGATAAAAACACAGTTAATGTCCTTGGCTTTCTCAAACACATCAGGACTCAGAGGAATTACCTAGTCCAGACAGAGGTAAATACCAATTATACATAGCATGGAATTTATGACAATACCAAGCTAAAACGGAGCAGAGTTACCAAGGTAACATTTAACACAGTTTACAGAAGTGGCTTGCACCTCCAGGGAATGTTCAGAAAATGGATCTCATGTTTAGATTCAAAGCTTGACATTTGACTGATATTTTTAGCAGAATTCTAAATTCTCTTCTTGTGTGGGTTGTGAGAAAAATTATTTATATTTGACTTATGAAGCATATTGACAAGAATACTGGTGCTTTACTAGTTCCACAAACCTAATTCGAGAACTCAGAATAGGTGGAATACATTAGTTATATATACTGTAATGGTAGTGATAAAAATAAATCATCCTCCTATACTCCTGGCTCCTGTGTTTCTGTCACAGTACATATGGGATTAAAAGCTATGATGAGCTGGAGAAAGTGGGACAACCGTACATTTGAGCCAAAATATAGATATAATCCCCTTTATGCTTCTGTGAGTTATCCTGAAACATTTTTCTGTGAGAAAGGCATTATTGTGCTAGCGATATGAAGTATCCTAGAAGGAGGCCAAGCCATTAAACTTGAATACAAGCACCTTGAGGATTTTGTTAACAAATTTGTTTGCCATCTCTTTTGACTTTAAGAAATAAATTAAACTTCGATTGTCCTTAATTTCTCAGTTCATCAAGTTTCAATTCAGCTGTCTATCTGAAGTTGTCCAAGTGACTCTGTGGACTAACTATCACATGTAGGTTCAGATTTTATGCCTTGTCTAATTTACACTGCATTTTAGTGGTTGGTTAGTTCAATTGGCTGGATGGCTGGTTTGCAATGCAAAGGGATACCAACAGCATGGATTCAATTTCCTCATCGGTGGAGATTACATGAAGGACTCAAGGAGAGTCACCCTCCCCCCTCATCTGAGGCATGGTGTCTCTAATGAGAGAGCAGGCCTATGGTCTGGCAAGACTATAATGACTTTACCTTCACACATTATAATTTTCTAAATTGTTGAGATGGATTTAGAGGTAAATAAATTGCTCATACATTTCAGTCTCCAGGACAGAATCTAGGACAAAATCCTTGATGATTTTACTTATAAGTTGTTTTGAATCTGTAAGAAAATCTAATAAATGCAACACATTCTTCCCATACACTGCTAGACCTTCATTGGGATTGCTAGATTATTTATTCATTGGATAGTCTGTTCTGTAATGACCAGGGTGCTGGATGATATTAAGCTTAATGTGTTATTTTTCTGTGGTGGTGATATGTCCCTTCAAGGCAACAATTCTAATTATCTTAAGTAAATCTTAGGCGGAGTCTGTTCAGAGTTTAATTGCTGCATGGGCCAGGAAGTTTGGAGACTGGAACATGCCTGTAACTTCCAGTGTGGAGGTTAAAAATACCTAGGCAATAAGCAACAAATATATTGAGACATTTATGAATCTGTAACCAAGTCTGACGTTAGCAGTAACATCTGCCTGCACCAAAGCCCTGAGTGAAAATAATATCTCCCATGGTGTTGCTCAAGGTGAGTTGACAGTTGTACTGCTGGAGTGTGGTGTGGAAAGCTCATTAACGGAAAAAAGTTTGAGAAATTGAAAGAAATATTTTCCATTCGTTACCGGAAACTAAATGGAATTAGAAATTTGTATGCGTTGTGCAGGTTTTAGGGTCCAAATAATAGGCACAAAACAAACCAGGTAAGCTGCAGGATAGCCTGCCCTCATCTGCAAAAGCATTGATCTCACTACTACATTTCAAGAAAGCTGTGTAAAACAAGCCTGAGAGTTCTTGAATATATAAATGATGCCTCATGGCTATTGAGGACTACTTTTAGAAATGTGTCTGCAATGTGTAATGCAGACAGTGGAGTTTATCCCACTCAGAATCTATAGAAACTAACAACCAAATGAAAGTGTGGAAAGATATTTTGAAACATACTGGAGTCGCAATTGCACTCCCCTCCCCTACAGCCAGCCTCAAGACTCCCTTTGGGGGCTTACTTGAAAGTTGCTGCCAATTGAACCAGTCAACCTGAAATTGAAGTCTTCACTCGGGAAACCTGTCTGTGAATAACATGAACAACACTGGCAGCATGTGCCAGCTCTGCCAATGGGAGCCAGGGATCAAATTAAATGAGATAAAATGGATCTAGATTAATTTCTGCTCCATCATTTTACTCTTTTCCCACTGCAGGTAAATAATAATGAAAAAGTAAAGGAAAGTGTGGCAGATGTTGAAACTCTGAAATGAAATTAGAAAACACTAGGAATACTCAGCAGGCCAGGCAACATTTGTGGAGGGAGAAACAGAATAATGTCAACAACTTTTTATCAAAATTCCAAAGGATAAATAATGACATTTGATCCTCTTATGTATTAATGTTAGACTGTGCATGCATGACAATAGGAGCATAAATAAACAGTCTGATTGTTGTTTTGTTCTGTCCTTTGTCTTTAAGGAACAGTACATTTTCATCCATGAAGCCTTGCGGGAAGCAATACATGGGAAGGAGACAGAAGTACCGGCTGCTCAGCTACATAGTTATGTCAACAACATTTTAATTCCAGGAATATCTGGGAAGATGAGGCTGGAGAAACAGTTTAAGGTTGGTTACTGGAACTAGAATCATTGTTCCATTCTATGCTTTGTGACAGTATGCTAGCAGTTCTACTCATCAGCTAGCACTATTTTTCAGAACAGGCATTTTATTAAAAATTTTGCATAGTTTATAGTGGAAAAATAAAGTTTTGATGGTCCCAATGTTGTTGAAAATATTTTTGCAAAGCTACTTAAAAGGTGGTCTTATTAGAAAGTTTCTAGACTTGATTTTATCGGTGGCGTATGTAGAATATCTTTAATCTGGAAGTGCCTGAATTTCAATGACAGTCTACACAGTTTCATGACTATTTTTGATTACTTAATTTTAAATACTCTGTTACCGCTTTGGTGCAGCATCATGTTATTGCACCTGCCACTGCTTCATTAGACAGTAAATGCTTACAGTGAACCCAAAAAAAGGGGTATATGATTATTTGGAATTCCTCTGTATAGGTTAATGGTGGCAGCATTCACTGTATTTCTGTTTTGAAGTGAACAATAACTACAATACATTGTTGGTTTTAAGTCCCTCTGTTTTAAAACCAAATTGCTTGCTCCATGTGCGGAAAATAAAATCTAAAATGGTTTAGTGGTAGAATTTCCAAATTACACGTCCACAATGCGAAGTTTTTGCATTTCATAGTAAATTTAATTCCTTCCTATGGTCGTTATGTTGAGATCAATCTGAAATTCATTCTGCTTTCTGAATAGTGCGAACATTAAGAACAGATTCAATTTTGCACATTGACAGTGGTTCAGGTATTTCTTGAAATGCATTATTTATAGCTTTATTCCATAATAAAAACACAGCTGTGCTTACATCATGTATTTAGAAAATAAAATGTAAAAACCCAGTATTGCCTCTTAACCCAAGGGGGCAATAAGGCCACATTGTACATCATTCAGTCTTGAGTTGCTTGATCAATAGTGAAGAATCTGTATTACTTCCACTTATTGCCCTCTTTAGAAGCAATCTGTGTAAATCTAGACTTTTCAGCCATAATATTTTATGCTCATCATTCATAAAGCTAATAAGAATCTTCAGTACCTTGTTATGTTCTTGCATAACTAAGCTAACATAGTCCATCTTTACTGGATTATGTTCTACAGTATGTCCAAACAACTTGCAATTCAATGTTACAGTACTACTGCATTCATGCTAGTGAGATAGAAACAAGGGATGGATCCCTTTGAGTCTATCCGGAAGGATTAAGCCTGCAGCTACAGTAAATGTAGACCAAGTGTCGGCTGCAAATTGTGGGATGTGACATTCCCAGCCTCCTACCTCAGTTTCCTCTCCAGTTTCTTGGGATGCAATTGAATGGCAAGTTATAAAGGAAAAATACTGCAAATACTGGAAATCTGAAATAAGCCATGAGAAAGCTGGAGAAATTCAGCAGGTCTGATAGCATCTGTGGTGAGAGAAATGGTGAACATTCTGTGTCTAACAGGGTTCTTCTTCAGAACTGAAAGGTTTTGGAAAGTTAGCACTGCAGCCTCACAGCGCCAGGGACCCGAGTTTGATTCCAGCCTCGGGCGACTGTCTGTGTGGAGTTTGCACGTTCTCCCTGTGTCTGCTTGGTTTTCCTCCGGGTGCTCCGGTTTCCTCCCACAGTCCAAAGATGTGCAGGCTAGGTGAATTGGCCAAGCTAAATTGCCCGTAGTGCCCAGGGGTGTATGGGTTATAGGGGGATAGGTCTGGATGGGATGCTCCAAGGGTCAGTGTGGACTTGTTGGGCCAAAGGGCCTGTTTCCACACTGTAGGGATTCTAAGATATACTTTTGACAGAGGCAGAGGACAGTGCAAAAGACAGTGGGGTTGTTAGTGATGGAAAAAAATGAAAAGAAATTTAAAAAGGTTTAAATTAATGTGTGAAAGGGAGAGAATAGGTCCTCTGTACAAAGAGCAAAATGAAAAAGAGAAGGCTTTAGGGGTGGAGGTGGGGGAAGTGATGAGAGAATGTTCAAAAAAATGGAGAACAGGCACAATCATGTCAGTTTCTTAAATTATGGAATAGAAGATTGAGAGCTTGAGTCTAAGTGGAAAATGGAGAGTTGCTTAGAAAAACCTGATACTGAGGCTTGCTGCAGGCCCCTCTGCACGTTACCTGGTTACCACAGATTTTGTAACCACTTGAAGAACAGCAAATACAGATAATCTTCAGGATGCCAATCTCTACTAGTCAGCAAGTTTAAAATTGTGAATGCCTTTTGCACAACAACCCCGCTATTTTATGGAGAGGTTTCAAGAATTTCACTGTTTGCACATTTGGTAACCACAATTATGTCTCAGAATATCCAAATGGTTATCAATGATTAGTGCCTGAATTCTGTTTTTACTAATAACGTGCAGAGAAAGGTTCCTGATGTTCAGTTCAATTAGAATAAGAATATCACAACAATATCCTCTAATGTGCATTATTCAATTGGACTAACTGAATGCCCATCAATTGTGCTAATGTTACTAGAACATTAGAAGCATCAGTAGGCTATTCAGTTCCCTCAAGCCTGCTCTGCCACTCAACAAGATCATGGTCAATCTGCCCCAGGCCTCAACTCCTCTTTCATGCCACCTCAGCATGGCCGTTAACTTACACAGTCATCAAAAATCTATCAATACTTTTTGATCCAGCCTCCACAAGTCTCTTGGTAGAACTGCAAATGGAAAACCTCTGCCCATGGTCCTGAATAATATATGGGAAGTCAGGCTAAGTAAGCAACACTTTGTTCCAATTGTACTAGACATGTTGTCAATTTTGTTAACATAGTATTCATTTTTAATGCTAGCTTGAACCAGATCTATTGAAGTCTTTTGTACCAACAAATCATCAAAATGAAACATTAGTTAATGCTATTTAAAAGGTACTGATATCTAAGGCGTGATCCACAAACCTCTTTAATCTGGCCTACGGAGTTCCTACTACTTCCTATTACCTTTGTGCTTACACATCGGGGCAACTTTATTACCTCAAAGCTATTAAGAATTCTTGGCACACTGCAGCTACAGTAATCACCAATGTTGTTGCTTTCAATGGAGGCTTTGTGCGATCCAGTTTCTAAATTTTTGTCTCTGATCAGTTTTAACTAAATAAGTGCTGTTTTCACAAGTATGTTAATTTAGACAGTTGCACTGTGTCAATTATGTTAAAAAATATCGTTTCAATTACTTGTGGATGTTTTCTTTCTTCAAAAGAAAGGTCATTTGTCTGTCAGGAAGAGATGAATGTTTGTGTACTAGTGCTTCCAGCAGCACCACACAGACTACATGGATTTTCCAATGGCAGTCACCACTGCAGTCTACTGCCTACATAGCATTCTTTAATGACATTAATGAAGAACACGGCCTGGGTCACATAGGTAGTGGCCCCTATGGAGCTGACTGCATCCATGGAATCACTCTAAGTCTGCTAGTGATGCCATGTAAATAAACTGCTCACCCAGCATTCCTCTTAAAATGTGGCTAGCCTAGTTTCTTATCCTAAGGATTAAAATCCGTCAAATGAATTTATTCTCCATTTATGTTGGATTTCTGTTGATCTCTCATCAGAAATAGGACTAGGCTTGACAATTTCATTGCAAATCCAGTTTCATTATTTGGAACATTGAACAATTGACTACAGCAGCATTTAAAAAATTCTGGTGTAAAGATTACTTCTCAGTCTACTAGAATGTAGAAGTGTAAAATTTCTTCTAGCATTAAATATTTCCCATTTCAGAACAGAAATAATATTCCAGAGATGCTGTCCCAAATACTAAAATGGATCCTAGGAATACACACACACAGTCTCATACATAAGGGATAGTAGGAACTGCCAATGCTGGAGTCTGAGATAACAGTGTGGAGCTGGATGAACACAGCAGGCCAGGCAGCAGCAGAGGGAGCAGGAAAGCTGACGTTTCTGGTCTGGATCCTTCAGAAATGGGGGAGGAAAAGGGGGCTCTGAAATAAATAGAGAGAGTGGGAGGCGGTGAAAGAAGGTGGATAGTGGAGCAGATAGATGGAGAGAAGACGGACAGGTCAAGGAGGCGGGATGAAGCTAGTACAGGTGAGTGTAGGTAGGGAGTTGGGATGGGGGTTGGTCAGTGAGGAGGGAGGGGCGGGTAGGTGGGAGGGAAGACGGACAGGTCAAGGAGGCGGGGATGAGAGGGAGGGCTGGTTTTGGGATGAGGTCAGGAGTGGGGAGATTTTGAAGCTCGTAAAGTCCACATTGAGACCATTGGGTTGTAGCGTTCAAAGTCGGAATATGAGGTGCTGTTCCTCCAGTTTTCGGGTGGCATTGTTGTGACTCTGGAGGAGGCCCAGATGGACGTGTCATCCAGGGAGTAGGAGGGGGAGTTGAAGTGGTTCGTGACTGGGATGTGTTGTTTGTCGCAAACTGAGCATAGGTGCTGCACAAAGCGGTCTCTGAGCCTCCGCTTGGTCTTCCCGATGTAGAGGAGGCCACTTTGGGAACAGCGGACACAATAGACTACATTAGCAGATGTGCAGGTGAACATCTGTTTAACGTGGAAAACTTTCTTGGGGTCTGGGATGGAGGTGAGGGGGGAGGTGTAGGGGCAGGTGTAGCACTTCCTGCGGTTGCAGGAAAAGGTGCCGGGAATGGTGGGGCTGGTGGGGAGTGTGGAGCGGACGAGGGAATTACGGAGAGAGCGGTTCCTCTGGAAGGCAGTTAAGGGTGGGAAGTGAAATATATGCTTCGTAGTGGGGTCAGATTGCAGTTGGCAGAAGTGGCGGAGAATGATTGCGTTGAATCCAGAGGCTAATGGAGTGATATGTGAGGACAAGGGGAGTTCTGTCTTTGTTTTTATTGCGGGGAGGAGGTGTGAGGGCTGAGGTGTGGGAAATGCAAGAGATGCGGTCGAGGGCGTTTTCGACCACTGTGGGGGGAAATTGCGGTCCTTGAAAAACGAGGACATCTGGGATGTCTGGGAATGGAATGCCTCATCTTGGGAGCAGATGTGGCAGAGGTGGAGGAAATGGGAATAGGGGATTGCATCCTTGCAGGAAGGTGGGTGAGTGGAGGTGTATTCTAGGTAGCTGTAGGAGTTGGTGGGCTTGAAATAGATATCAGTTTTCAGGTGGCTACCAGAGATGGAGACAGAGAGATCCAGGAAGGAGAGAGAGGTATCAGAGATGGTCCAGGTGAACTTAAGGTTGGGGTGGAAGGTGTTAGTAAAGTGGATGAACTATTCGAGCTCCTCGTGGGAGCACGAGGCGGCGCCAACACAGTCATCAATGTAACGGAGGAAGAGGTTGGGGATAGTGTCAGCTGGCTGTGACAGGCCACCGGAAGGGTCTGCATATGTACTGCTGATGCAACTTCACTCCTGCATAGCAACATCAGAGCAAACGCGTGTGGGAACCAAGATGGCTACCACGTCTGCCCTCTCCGACTGCCAATGGTGCCCTACCACCTGTCCCAGAACTGCGCGCTGTGCCTGGGGATCAAGGCTGCTGCTGTGCCTGTCCCCCGACACCTCCCACTGAGCCTTGTCAGTCAATGTGCCGTTGGAGTCATTCAGGCCTAAACGTTCTGCATTCCATTAATAACATTTCTCACTTCCATGATGTTGGGTCGTGTCAATGTGCATATGCACAATTGCACTAATGAGCGGTGGCATCTGTACCAGACACGGCCTAAATAGTCTTCATGTTAACTTCAGTGTTTATTTCTCGTTTATGTTATATTGTAATATACAGATATTTTTAGAATGTTGTAATTTTTAACAATTTTTCATTTTTGAAAATCTACTATTGAGATTTGTAAATATTGATTCTCCCTACTGATGTTTCAATGAACTCTCTTTTTACAGTTGGTAACTCAGTGTAATGCAAAATTTATAGAGTGCTTCAGTGCCCAAAAAGAATGCAATAAAGAGAAGAACAGAAACTCCTCAGTTGTGCCATGTAAGATAACTTCTACTTTAGTGAAAAGCTGATATATTTGTATATACAACCATTTTGCACATTTTTGAAGATTCATTGGAAGAACCTTAAGTACCTTTGCAGTGAGACTTCACAATTACTAATTGGAAAGTGAAAAAGATTATTTTATCTATTCTTTAAGTATCCCTCTTTATCCCTCTTCTATTATGCCAAGCATACAAGCTTGGTTTCAGTACTTAAAGTAGCTAATTAAGACTATGAACTCACATTGCTTTTGCCAAATATTGGCTTATAACCATGTTGAAAAAGTCTATTTTAGATTTGGAAAAATTGGTGACGAAAAGTCTAATTTTATTCTATAATACCTTGGTCAGAATTTCATAGAATGACAGGGGTCCTGGCTACCAGCTGGAATGTTGGGTGGGGGCATGTTACCCCACATTGGCCACTTATGGCAGCCCCAGCCAGTTTTACATGCTGCAGGCGATGAACAGCATGCACTGTTTAAGGAATGAAGTCACCTTGCAAAGCCTGCCAGCCAATCAGATAAATCCTGTATGGGCCAGAAGGTGCCCTAATCCTGAACCTACAAGGAGGCAGCCAGGGTACAGCTAGTGGTCTCCCCCCATGGTGAATTGTCCACCCAACAACTTTTCAGTTGTTTCAGCGGCGGGAGTCCGGGAGGAAGCGCGAGGGCAGCCTGGGAAGGTGAGCTTTTCGGTTATAAAAGTCTTACCTCGCGTGACTCCATTTTTGGAGTAAGTGAGGTAATATATTTGGGCGGTTGCTTTACCCGAAACACTACCGAGGTCGTGTCTCCCACCCATCCTCCTCCTCTAACCAAAAAAAAAGTTCTGAGCGCTGATTTGGTAAGGCTACTAGTATATTTTTTTTAATTTGTCTGTTTGGGAATTCAGAACAGTGGGAATGGATGTTAGGGCAGTTGTATGCTCCTTCTGTAGAATGTGGGAGGTAAGGGTCACCACTAGTGTCCCCACTGACTTCATCTGCGGGAAGTGCACCCAACTCCAGCTCCTCGGAAACCGTGTTAGGGAACTGGAACTGGAGCTGGAGCTGGATGAACTTCAGATCATTCGGGAGGCTGAGGGGGTAATTGAGAGGAGTTACGGGGAGGTAGTCACACCTCAGGTACAGGAAAAAAGTAGATGGGTTACAGTCAGGGGACGGAAAGGGAACAGGCAGACAGTGCAGGGATCCCCTGTGGCCATTCCCCTCAAAAACAAGTATACCGTTTTGGATACTGTTGGAGGGGATGACTTACCAGGGGTAAGCCGTGGGGTACAGGTCTCTGGCACAGAGTCTGTCCCTGTTGCTCAGAAGGGAAGGGGGGAGAGGAGGAGAGCATTAGTCATTGGGGACTCCATAGTTAGGGGGACAGATAGGAGATTCTGTGGGAACGAGAGAGACTCGTGGTTGGTGTGTTGCCTCCCAGGTGCCAGGGTCCGTGATGTCTCGGATCGTGTTTTCGGGATCCTTAAGGGGGAGGGGGAGCAGCCCCAAGTCGTGGTCCACATAGGCACCAACGACATAGGTAGGAAAAGGGATGGGGACGTAAGGCAGAAATTCAAGGAGCTAGGGTGGAAGCTTAGAGTTAGAACAAACAGAGTTGTTATCTCTGGTTTGTTACCCGTGCCACGTGCTAGCGAGGCGAGGAATAGGGAGAGAGAGCAGTTGAACACGTGGCTACAGGGATGGTGCAGGAGGGAGGGATTCAGATACCTGGATAATTGGGGCTCATTCTGGGCTAGGTGGGACCTCTACAAACGGGATGGTCTACACCTGAACCAGAGGGGTACCAATATCCTGGGAGGGAAATTTGCTAATGCTCTTCGGGAGGGTTTAAACTAATTCAACAGGGGGGTGGGAACCTGAATTGTAGCTCCAGTGTACAGGATGTTGAGAGTAGTGAGGTCACAAATAAGGTTTCAAGGTCGCAGGAGTGTACTGGCAGGCAGGAAGGTGGTTTGAAATGTGTCTACTTCAATGCCAGGAGCATCCGGAATAAGGTGGGTGAACTTGCAGCATGGGTTGGTACCTGGGACTTCGATGTTGTGGCCATTTCGGAGACATGGATAGAGCAGGGACAGGAATGGTTGTTGCAGGTTCCGGGGTTTAGATGTTTCAGTAAGATCAGGGAAGGTGGTAAAAGAGGGGGAGGTGTGGCATTGTTAGTCAAGGACAGTATTACGGTGGCAGAAAGGACGTTTGATGACAACTCGTCTACTGAGGTAGTACTGGCTGAGGTTAGAACCAGGAAAGGAGAGGTCACCCTGTTGGGAGTTTTCTATACGCCTCCGAAAAGTTCCAGAGATGTAGAGGAAAAGATTGCAAAGATGATTCTGGATAGGAGCGAAAGTAACAGGGTAGTTGTTATGGGGGACTTTAACTTTCCAAATATTGACTGGAAACGCTATAGTTCGAGTACTTCAGATGGGTCAGTTTTTGTCCAATGTGTGCAGGAGGGTTTCCTGACACAGTATGTAGATAGGCCAACAAGAGGCGAGGCCACATTGGATTTGGTACTGGGTAATGAACCAGGCCAGGTGTTAGATTTGGAGGTAGGAGAGCACTTTGGTGATAGTGACCACAATTCGGTTACGTTTACTTTAGTGATGGAAAGGGATCAGTATATAAAGCAGGGCAAGAGTTATAGCTGGGGGAAAGGCAACTATGAGGCGATGAGGCAAGATTTAGGATGCATAGGATGGAGAAGGAAACTGCAGGGGCTGGGCACAATTGAAATGTGGAGCTTGTTCAAGGAACAGCTACTGCGTGTCCTTGAGAAGTATGTACCTGTCAGGCAGGGAGGAAGTGGTCGAGCGAGGGAACCGTGGTTTACTAAAGAAGTTGAATTTCTTGTCAAGAGGAAGAAGGAGGCTTATGTAGAGATGAGGCGTGAAGGCTCAGTGAGGGCGCTTGAGAGTTACAAGTTAGCCAGGAAGGACCTAAAGAGAGAGCTAAGAAGAGCCAGGAGGGGACATGAGCAGTCTTTAGCAGGTAGGATCAAGGAAAACCCTAAAGCTTTCTATAGGTATGTCAGGAATAAAAGAATGACTAGAGTAAGATTGGGGCCGGTCAAAGACAGTAGTGGGAAGTTGTGCGTGGAGTCCGAAGAGATAGGAGAGGTGCTAAATGAATATTTTTCGTCAGTATTCACGCAGGAAAAAGACAATGTAGTTGAGGAGAATACTGAGATACAGTCTATTAGACTAGACGGGATTGAGGTTCATAAGGAGGAGGTGTTAGCAATTCTGGAAGGTGTGAAAATAGATAAGTCCCCTGGGCCGGATGGGATTTATCCTAGGATTCTCTGGGAAGCCAGAGAGGAGATTGCAGAGCCTTTGGCTTTGATCTTTATGTCGTCATTGTCTTCAGGAATAGTGCCAGAAGACTGGAGACTAGCAAATGTTGTCCCCTTGTTCAAGAAGGGGAGTAGAGACAACCCTGGTAATTAAAGACCAGTGAGCCTTACTTCGGTTGTGGGTAAAGTGTTGGAAAGGATTATAAGAGATAGGATTTATAATCATCAAGAAAGGAATAATTTGATTAGGGATAGTCAACACGGTTTTGTGAAGGGTAGGTCGTGCCTCACAAACCTTATTGAGTTCTTCGAGAAGGTGGCCAAACAGGTGGATGAGGGTAAAGCGGTTGATGTGGTGTATTTGGATTTCAGTAAAGCGTTTGATAAGATTCCCCATGGTAGGCTATTGCAGAAAATACGGAGGCATGGGATTGAGGGTGATTTAGCGGTTTGGATCAGAAATTGGCTAGCTGTAAGAAGACAGAGGGTGGTGGTTGATGGGAAATGTTCATCCTGGAGTTCAGTTACTAGTGGTGTACCTCAAGGATCTGTTTTGGGGCCACTGCTGTTTGTCATTTTTATAAATGACCTGGATGAGGGCGTAGAAGGATGGGTTAGTAAATTTGCGGATGACACCAAAGTCGGTGGAGTTGTGGATAGTGCAGAAGGATGTTGTAGGTTACAGAGGGACATAGATAAGCTGCAGAGCTGGGCTGAGAGGTGGCAAATGGAGTTTAATGCGCAAAAGTGTGAGGTGATTCACTTTGGAAGGAGTAACAGGAATACAGAGTACTGGGCTAATGGTAAGATTCTTGGTAGTGTGGATGAGCAGAAAGATCTCGGTGTCCATGTGCATAGATCACTGAAAGTTGCCACCTAGGTTGATAGCGTTGTTAAGAAGGCGTACAGTATGTTAGGTTTTATTGGTAGAGGGATTGAGTTTCAGAGCCATGAGGTCATGTTGCAGCTGTACAAAACTCTGGTGCGGCTGCACTTGGAGTATTGCGTACAGTTCTGGTCACCGCATTATAGGAAGGATGTGGAAGCATTGGAAAGGGTGCAGAGGAGATTTACCAGGATGTTGCCTGGTATGGAGGGAAGGTCTTATGAGGAAAGGCTGAGGGTCTTGAGGCTGTTTTCGTTAGAGAGAAGAAGGTTAAGAGGTGACTTGATAGAGACATACAAGATGATCAGAGGATTAGATAGGGTGGACAGTGGGAGCCTTTTTCCTCGGATGGTGATGGCTAGCACGAGGGGACATAGCTTTAAATTGAGGGGTGATAGATATAGGACAGATGTCAGAGGTAGGTTCTTTACTCAGAGAGTAGTAAGGGCGTGGAATGCCCTGCGTGCAAAAATAGTAGACTCGCCCACTTTAAGGGCATTTAAATGGTCATTGGATAAACATATGGATGATAATGGAATAGTTTAGGTTAGATGGGCTTCAGATTGGTTTCACAGGTCGGCGCAACATCGAGGGCCGAAGGGCCTGTACTGCGCTGTAATGTTCTATGTTCTATGTTAACATGGGTAAAATACCTTAATTGGCTACTTGGAACCCTGACTTGGCATAAATGCAAGAGGTCTGTTCACCACCTTTACCACCACTTATCAAATGCCACCCCTACCACCTCAGATAATTTCTTTCCCCCTTGCACACACCTTCCAGCATGCTTTCTGGAGCCTGTACAATTATCTCTTTTTTTACGCATTACTTTATTTTCTTAGGAGGGAATCATATACGCATGAGTGGAATGTATTTATTTTTAACAATCTTCTTCCATCAAACGTTGTGATCGTATTCTGTCTTTCAGCTGAAAGAGCTCGGGTAGGCCTTGCACCATTGCCTGGAACAAAAGGAACTGACTATATTAATGCCTCCTACATCATGGTAAGTGCTGCCGAGGTAGTTTTTTAAATATTGAAAGCTATAATCTAAATATAATTTTAAAAGTATCAAATGTACATAACACCACACGTGGCTTATTTTTCTATCACAAGCAGAACCTGTTTGTTAATTGTAGTACAATGGAATATAGAAATAATAATGATGCAACTGATTATGTAACTTTGACATCAACAGAAGAGAACAGAGCAGAGGAGAGATAAATGTAAAAGAAGACCTAGACATTATATGAGAGAGCTGTGTTTAGTAACCTGTAATTATAGAAACGTAAATAACCCTTTTAAACAGTCTACACACTGTATGCACACTGCACTATTCACATGTAATAGCCGAGGCTTCCAAAACATGTATCGGAGTCTTAGTCAATTTTTGGGGGCTCTTCCGGCACTGTGGTAGTATCCCTGCCTCTGACCTAGAAGCCCTAGGTTAAAGTTCCACCTGCTGCAAGGTTCTGTGATATCATTATCAAGCAGGTTGATTAAAATACCCATAAATGTAGACAAACAACACTACTGGAGAAAGTGAGAAGGCCTTGCTTTAAAACTAGGACAAACTATGGACGGTAGAGACCAAGTAGAATGGTAAAGGGTGCAATTTCTTGGAGTGTACATGTAGATGCCCTACACACAGAGGTGCATTGAAGTCGTATGAAAGCATAATAGCAGTTTTTGTATGTTCAGGTTGGGTGGATTAGCTATGCTGAATTCCCCTGTAGTGTCCAGAGATGTGCAAGGCAGGCGGATTTAGCCATGGTAAATGTGGGGTTACTAGGATAGGGTTGGGAATTAGGTCTGGGCGGGATGTTCTTTGGAGGGTCAGTGCAGACTGGATAGGCTGAATGGCCACTATCTGCACTGTAGGGATTTTATGACTGTGATTCTATATATTCACAGATTGATCGCCCAAGAATAATCCTGCCACTTTACATTTAGATATCAAGTTGAATTGGAGAACCTTTGTTGTAAATGAGGAATTATGTCTTTGTCCACTTTGGCTTTGTTCCATCTAAGAATGTGGCAGCTGTCACTCCAAGTCAAGAGGTTGTTGGTTCAAGTTCAACTCCAAAGATTTGAGCCAATAATCTAGACTGATACTTCAGTACAGTTCTGAGTGATACTGCACTGTTGGAGATGCTGTCTTCCGAATATGAAGTAAACCAACTGTAGTGTCAGATAGATGTAAAACAAAATCACACAATTGATTAAAAAGCAGAGGTGGTTTCCTATAGATAACAAGGTGTGGAGCTGGATGAACGCAGCAGGCGAGGCAGCATCAGAGAAACAGGAAAGCTGACATTTAGGGTCTGGACCCTTTTTTCTGAAGAAAGGTCCAGACCCGAAACGTCAGCTTTCCTGCTCCTGTGATGCTGCTTGACCTGCTGTGTTCATCCAGCTCCATACCTTGTTATCTAAGACTCCAGCATCGGCAGTTCCTACTGTCTCAGAGGTGGTTTCCTAATTCCTCGCTAACCTTTCCTCAAAAATTATTAGTTCTTGGGATGTGATTGTCACGGCAAGACCAGTATTTATTGTCCATCTTTAATTGTCCTCGAGAAGATGATGATCAGCTGCCTTCTTGAACCATTGTAGTCAATGTGGTGAAGGTATTCCCACATACTGGTAAGTAGGGAGTTCCAGGATTTTAACATAATCATGATGAAGGAATGGCATGTTTAGTTATCTCATTTTTCACTGTGCCACTAATCATCACATAGACGACACTGATTAAAGTGTTTTCTCAATTTTTACAGGGCTATTACAGAAGTAATGAATTTATTATTACCCAGCATCCCTTGCCTCACACCACAAAGGACTTTTGGCGAATGATTTGGGACCATAATGCGCAGATTATTGTCATGTTACCAGACAACCACGGACTAGTGAGTATTCAAAATTTGTTATAATCTAATTTTTTCAGCCGTTTTAATTACATTAAGTTTTGTATTCTGAAAGTTTTATTTTAAAATAGTAATTGAGTATAACTGATTTATTTTGAAAATGCTATTTGGAATAGATTTTGATGTATAAAGAATCTAGGAACTCAATTATGCAAGCTTAAGAGCAATTGCATTAAAATGTAGTTAAGAGCAATTGCATTAAGAAAAACAACTTTAAGGAAAAAAAAAAGTGTAAATTTAATTGTCAACAAATAGTTTAGGAACCCAAAATCACTATTGCTTTGTGTGGCATCACTGATTCTCCACTGTTATATTTCCATCTTCTGTGGTACTTGCTACCCTGATTAGCACTTCCCCACTTAAGTTAAGAGCTAAGCAGAGTGGACTTCTGCCACTGTCCGATCTAATTCTCAGTGCACCTCTATTTGACTGATTTGCCATGTCAGTTATTATGCTTATCTTTAATAGTGTCCAATAATGAGGCACAATACTTTGAAAAATATTATCGCCAGATCATGATATTTTTGCTCTGAAGTAAGCTCACCACCAGGAGATTATCAAGTAAAACTTCATTCTGAATAAAAATATTTAATCCTGTTATATAGGGTGACTCTTGTCCAAACCAGTATCAGAAATGTTTCCTCAGTGTTATAGAGGCATCTCTTCCATCAGCTGTAAAAGAGCATTCGGACCCTTGCCAAATAAGGGCCTAACCCTTATTTTAAGACACATTTCCAATTTGGGTCATAATTGATGAGACTCAAGGGACTACTCATGTTTTAATCAATTTCCAGCCCAGTGTCTATAAATGTTACTAGGAATAGCATAACAAGTAATCTAAGAGACAATACACATATAGGAATGGAATCAGCTGTAGTTGTGGAATGTAGAGATTTGATATAAACACTTTTTCCTTTAAACATGAAGAGCAGAGACTTTATTGCACTAAGAACTACTTCTATTGTGATGCTTTACTTGTATAATTTATGACCACAAATTGAACTTGACCTTTTCTTAACATGGACTGTCTTCTTTTCTTGTAAATATGACTTGCCATTTCATGCTTTATACTTGCTGTGCTTGATTAAACAACTGTCAAATTTTCACTTATTTAGAGACAAAGTTCTTACTTAATATTATGCATGAAGTTAATGACCATCTCAATCTTAAACAAGGCAATTATTCACTCGCTGAGTCTCAGAATAGCAGCCAAAAAGATGTCAAATTTAACAGTAACGGTCAATGCTGCTGGCGTGTAAACTGCTTATTCAAACTTTCTGCAGTGTCCTCTTTGGTGCTGGGGACTAGATTTTGCAATAGCTTTGTGATGTACTTGGGCTAAAGAAATGAACCAGAGAATTTTTATGAGGATTTTGTCATGAAGTACTGCTGAAGGTATCTTGAAGCATTAAAACCTGATGTTTACAAGTGGTATGATTTGAAAAAGTTTTGGAACAGAAGCTTCCCATTTTCAAGCAAACTGTTTTTCTCGAGTGAGATTCACAGGCTCTAGTCTGCCAACACTGGCAAAGTGGCAGCGGACATAAGCCTCCACCTCATGCCACATGAGGAAAATTCCCAAACTTGGCCAGAGAAGAGCATGTCTGCTCATGTGGGAATGGAGAGACCTCCATGGGAACCCAGCCCACTAAGCTTCATTGTCTGTGCTGCGCTGCTGACCCATTTCCTTCAGTTCTATCTTATTCTTAATCTGCACAAGATTCTACCCCTCTTACACAACTAATTTCTTGTTAAGCAGGCACTAATGGCATACATCAAACCTCCACTAAGAAGAGACCAGTGTTAGAGACACTCAGCTCCATCTTCATCTCTGAGGAGGTAGCCACCTATTCCTCAGCGGAGGCACTGGCAATGCTTTCCCCTGCACCTTCCGTTAGTTCAGAGACTTTGTCTCAGTGATACTATTTCTAGACTTGATTTGAGGGCACAATGTGGTGAACAAATCGCTGTCATGGCTCTGCAGCTGAAGAAACCAGAGGGAAGAAACCCTCCAGATCTCTGACATTCAGAGAGCAGTATTGAAGATCAGGCATAACCCCAGGCAGAGGTCAGTCCCATAGACTTGGCCATTAATGACATTATCATATTGAATCTTTGACATTTCCCTTTGTCAGCTCCAGGTGTGGTGGGCCGAGCCAGACACAGTGATGTGGCATTTATTAGTTATTGCATATTAAAAATGGAGCATGGTGAAAAAGGTATTGTACCTGTAGGTGGTAGTGGTCTGACATACAGAAATGTCAAAATCACCTAAGTTATAGACTAATCAAAATATAATGTCAAAACATAAAGCAAAAAAAGCAATAAAAAACCCATGAGGTAAAACATAGGTGCTTAAGGAAAATGTCAGTCACAAAAAAAGTTAGTGAAATATCTTTTGTAAAAATCACAGAAGCAACCATTTAAGTGTACATAGAATAATATATTTTCATTCCACTCAAGTCACACATGATACAGCCCCACCCCACACCCTTCAATTGAACTGATCAATTCTATCCCTAAAGGCTGGAAGATCATAGAATTCCTACAGTGCAGAAAGAGGCCATTTGGCCTATTAAGTCTACACCAACCCTCCAAAAGAGCATTCCACCCTATTCCCATATTTACCTTGGCTGACCCACCTAGGCTGCAGGCTACAGGACAATTAAGCATGGCCAATCCACCTAACCTGCACAGCTTTGGACTGTGGGAGGAAACAGATGCAGATAGGGGGGAACATGCACACTCCACACAGTCACCCAAGGCTGGAATTGAACTCTGAGCCCTGGCACTGTGAGGTAGCAGTGCTGACCACTGAGCCACATGCCACCCAAGATCTCTTACTGGGATTCACAGCAAAACACCATTTCTCTTTGGCTAACTATCATTCCTATCCACTCACCACTATTTCTGAATTTCACAGCCCAACAAAAAGAAAATTGTTTACACTCTCTCTGACTGATGGGACATCACTGTTCTCCACTCCTAGGTGGCTATAGCTCGGGCAACATTACTTTTCCCAGCCCCCTGCCTCCAACTAACTGAACTGGGCTCATTCCAAGCCCATCCAATCTCTGAGACAAAATCACCACCAAAAATTGAATATACTTAAACAGGACTTTCAATGTGGTGAGTCAACAACCATACTTATTTCCATGTCATATGGTTTTTCACTCTGTAATTCATTAAACAGCAGGAGAGAGATTAAATACTTAAAATGACAGATGATAGAGCATGCTTCAAAGAAAACAACATAGCAACATGGGACACAGCAATCTTGCAAAGCTTTCTTTCTTTGCCTGAATTTTTTGTTGAAGTCATCTAGATTGGAAATGTTAGCTTGCTCTCTGTCTCCATGGATGCTGTCTGACCTGCTGTGATCTCCAGCATGTGTTGTTTTCAGTAGATATTCCAGCAGCTGCAGTGATTTGGTCCTAAAAATTAATTTCAATTCCATCAGCTCAGAAAAGGGTGTTTTGTATAAGTTTCCTAACCCATACAAATGCAAATTGATAATTCAAAGACTCGTTCCTGGAGATTTAAGGTACGAACTGTTTCAAAGGTCAGAGCTAGAAGAAGGTGTTTGATGTGCTTGCCTTATTTGTTATAACATAATATCATGTTGCAGCTGCACAGTGCATTAGTGAGGCCACTTTTGGATTACTGTGTACAATTTTGGTCGCCCTTCTGTAGGAAGGATGTCATTAAACTTAAGAGAGTGCAGAAAAGATTTATAACGATGTTACCTGGACTGGAGGGTTTGAGCTATAAGGAGAGGCTGAACAGGCTGTGGCTACTTTCCCTGGAGCGTCGGAGGCTGAGGGGTGACCTTACTTGGGTTCATAAAATCACGAGGTGCATGGATAGGGTGAAAAGCCAAGGTGTTTTTCCTAGAGTGGGTGAGTCCAAAACTAGAAGACGTAGGTTTAAGATGAGAAGGGAAATATTTAAAAAGGACCTGAGGGGTAACTTTTTCACACAGAGGGTGGTGCATGTATGGATTGGGCTGCCAGAGGAAGTGGTGGAGATGGATACAATTACAATATTTAAAAGGCACCTGGATGGGTATATGAATAGAAAGGGTTTAGAGGGATATGGGCCAAATGCTGGCAAATGGGACTAGGTCAGATCAGGATGTGTGTTCGATGTGGTTAAGTTGGACTGAATGGTCTGTTTCCGTGCTGTATGACTCTAAATCACGTTTATTTAGATTGTTGCCAATGGATGGTAGAGAGAGCTAACATTTCAGATGAGCTACAGGGTTTCAAAACATTCAGCATTATATTTCTGTGGGTATTTATTTGAGAGTTTCTTTCCAATTGAAAAGCCCCAGATGCCTTTATTCAAATAAGTAAAGCAAAAAATTCTGCAAGTGCTGAAAATCTAAAAACAGAGGAAACAGAAAACAAGCAGCAGTCAAGAAACAAGGCAGGCTTTCTTGGCATTATTAAAATAGTATCGGGGCCCCAAGTGGTGAATCTCAATCAGACCCTCAGCTATGTTGTCTGAAGGTTTCATAGGCTGTCTGAAATGGTACTGGGTGAATGTACACTGTGGATTTGGAGAGTGCTGTGTAACTGATTTTGAACTCTCTGTAAAAGAAATCCTGTCCCTAAAATTATTGAGTCAACCCGATGAATATATGATCTGGTTACTATTCGAAGAAAGGAGGTAAAGGGCAGTTAGTGGCAACTTCCAGTAAGCTGAAGTACCATGTAAGGGTCCTCTGGTTGATCCTTAGGGTACTCACTTTCTACATACTGGGTAGGTAAAGATGGATTGCAGATTGCAGCAATTGCAACATCCATTTACAGGATGTTGTTACTAAATCCCAGTAATATTACATTCACACACTGTTGATTGATTTACAGACCATGATAAGAAGCCATATTTTTGTCATATTTAGATTCTACCATCCATGCTGACAAGTGTCTCGCAGTGTTACAGTTTCTGTATTCTGTATTCACACCCAAGATTATCCATATTGGCCCCAATATTGGCTTGTCAAAACTGGATCAGTTGGAAATAATCTCACCTCGAAGCCAAAAGATTGTGGATCCAGTAATGCAAACTGCACTACAGTGTTCTCATTGGAACAAAGTTCCCTCTGTTTGTTACAGTGGTCCAGAATGAGACAATAAACCAATTTTCTATAGCAGATGTATCTTATTTTCCACTATCTAAAAGTAGAACATTTTTGTGTGTCTATGCCAATGTTCCTTCCCCAAAGAAACAAACAACTTATTTGATTATTTATGGGGCACGTGTGTGCCAACCAGAGTGGTTGCTATGTTTTTCTATTTTAATAGCAATCACTAGATTAGAAAATGTATTACATGATGCTCTTTAAAACATTGCAATATAAAATGTACTAAAGTAATATTACTACAATATATTGTTGTGGGAAGATTCCACGTAAGGGCCAGGCATTTCGTACAGTCAGAAGAGAAAGGACTCAGGCTGGTGGTCACCAAGATACGTTTCCAAAGAACTCCCAGCTGAGAGTTTTAAAATGGCATTGATGAAAACTGGGGAGCAAGCTGCTAGCCCAGTCTATTGACTGAGGCAAGAGAAACCCATAAATATGTATCTATCCTACGAATTACTATGAATTAAATGCGCCAGCCTGCTACACCCCCAATTCTCCTGTAGTGTTCCATAAATCAATAACATGAATTTCAAGTTCAAGACTAACAGGTCTCAATAATCACACAGTTATGTAAACAGTTGTAGACAGTGTAAACAGTGTACACAGTTGTAGTAAAATTGCATTTTGTTATAAGTACAATTGAGTTGGGGCAGTTTTGGAAAGACTTATATTTCCCTTTTGCTAATTACCTCCATCAGTGAAAATGGTTGGAGATAGTGTTTCAGCCCTGTTTGTCTGTCAGCAATATATCTCAGAAACTAGTGGATGAATTCCAAAGAATGTTGGTATACAGATGACGTATGGCCCAAGGAAAAACTAATTTGTTTTGAGGAACGTTCAGATCCAGATTCCAGAACTTCTTAAAAAATCTGTTAATATGAGGAGTTAGAGCAAACTGATGTTTTATTTTTGAATATTGTAAGTTGTTTTATTTAGAATGATTTTGATTGTTTTAGAATGTTATGGATTGTTGCGGCTGCTGTGATTTAATTTGTTGTAGGTATCAAAATCTGAGCAGGTTTTCGGATGTGGATTCGTCTGATGTCTCCTCGGTAACATAGAATCTATTAGCAAATTTTTTCATATTTGTAGTTAGAGTATCAGTCAGGTAGGGAAAAGCTTCAAGAAAGCTGGATAGTTGTAATAACATTAAATTACCAGAGTATGTCAGTATTACACGGTATTGTTTTTCTGTTTTTTTAGTTCTATTATCAGAAAACAGTAAGCATTTGCAGGAAAAGGTGTCTCATTTACTTTCATGGTCTATTCTGATTCCAAGATTTTGTAACTCGCTCAGATTAATCAGGAGGAATGAGCCTTAACAGTTTGATTGCTCTGTTTGATAAGAACTTCATAACCTGAGACCCTTTCCAAGACCTTTCCATTACCTGTGACCTTTTTTATAATAACTCAAATCTCCTGATATATTCTGTTTCATGTGGTCTTGATTCAATGGCTCGATGTTTGTTGAATTCTCTCCACAATCTCAGCATGATGAAAGCCCATATGCCTGCATGTAAAGCAATCAAATGTGCAGAAAAAAATGGAACTAATTGCAGTACGTTACAGCACAGTAGGACTACCACATATCACAGAGAGCAATTTCAGATTTTGTCCATACACTAATTAATAGGGAATGTATGTTATAATCATCTGGATTAGTTACATGAACCAGCCAAACCAGGATGTTTGTCAAGTTGCAGTCAGTATTTCATCAATTAATGTATGATTCCTTTCACAATTTGAAAGGAGTTTCAGCTGAGGTATTCAATACCATAACGTTTAAAGTTTCATATATATTTCTGAACTTGGCATTGACCAGTTTTGCTCCATTATCAGTCAGAAACTTTGCTCTTGCCACAAATAAGATCCTTATTGATTCTTCCATGATCATATCTATAACAGATCATGTTGTAATGACTGTACTCCAGTACAAAGACAAAATCTGATTACCAGATTATACAAAATGCAGACTGAAAATATTTTGTCCCATTTCTTCAAAGTCTTTGCAAGTACCTAATTAATGCCAATGGAAGACTTACAATAGGATGTGATGGCATTCCTGATACTTGTTCCAGATTTTAAATTTCTGTCTAATTTCTTCTGTTAACTTTCTACATGCTTCATCAGCTACATTTGTTTTTATTATTGCATCTATTATTCATTCTCATTTTGGCTGTGGAGCAGCCTCACAATTAAGCTTGACCCTGTTCTTGCCTGATATGGAGTCATAGAGTCGTAAAGCACAGAAACAGTCCTTTCTGTCAAACTTGTCTGTACCTGACCAGGTTTACCAAAATAAACCATCTGTCTGTGTTTGGTCCATATTCCTCTAAACCTTTACTATTCATGTACCTGTCCAAATGTCTTTTAAATGTTGCACCAGCATCTATCACTTCCTCTGGCACTTCATTCCACATACGAACCACCCTCTGAGTGAAAAATATTGCCCCCCAGTGCTGTTGTTCTGAACTTTCAACTTTTGATTGCTACATGGCAATCAATTGTAGAAACATTGACCAATTTTCCTTTGCTTGATGTAGGTCACTGTTGTAGCTGCTGTAGAACAGTGGTAGTGTCCCTACTTCTGGGCCAAAGGGTCTGAGTTCAAGACCCACCTGTCCCAGATGTGGCATAACATGTCTGAACTTTAAAACATCTATAATAGGGCTGTTGTGGTACAGTGGTAATGTCCCTACCTCTGAGCCAGAGGCCTGGGTTCAAATCCCATCTGCCCAGACATTTGTCATAATGTGCCTGATAAGGTTTGTTAAAAATATTTAATCTAGAACACTGGGGCTAATTGCCGCATTCCATCAATGTTCTGGCTGAGATCACCTTCCACAGGACAGACTGGAGATTTTCCATGACATTATTGCTAGTTATTCACTGGATACAATAATTGAGCCACTGAGGGGCTTTGATGCAGGATAATTGTGAAACTTCCAGAATATAATGCTAATTCAATATAAATGCAATGCAACCATAATAAATTTCATTTATTTAACTCCATTTATGGTCTTAGGTTGCCAGATAGGAAATATGGTAATTAATTTGCACACAGTAGAGATCACAAACAAAATTTGATCAGGGCCAGATAATCTGATGTAGCCTGGACAATGGAGACAACTCCATTGGTCTTCTCCAAAATAGTGCAAATGTACTTTTACAACTCTTAGTGAGGGCAGTTGCAAGGTTGTTGTCCTTGGTTTAACATCTCACCTTCAGCAATTTCTTCAGTACTGCCCTGCAGCGTTAACCTAGATTTTGTACTCAACTCCTCACATTCAACTGATTCAGAGGTAAGAACGCTACCGTCAAGCTTTGGCCAACACCTTGAGCCATGATCTTGTTGAAACCATTTTGTTTTTCATGTGCAAACTAACATAATTTACTGACTGAGTTGTTAATAACTTGTACCTTCCAATGTAACATGATAATTATGGTAGCATATTGATGTATAGATTAGACAGTTCTATGTGATGATTCGAGTCAACTGAAATGAGCTCGAGACAGAAACAGTTGTAAAATGGCTAATATCTATGGTCCATTACCAACAGGCAGAAGATGAATCTGTGTACTGGCCAAGCCGTGAAGAATCCATGAATTGTGAAGCCTTTACAGTAACTCTTATTAGCAAAGACATACTGTGCCTCTCTAATGAAGAGCAAGTTATCATCCATGATTTCATCCTGGAAGCGACACAGGTATAGCGAAATGTTCCAAGTTCATATAATTTTGGCTTACGTGATTAAAAAAAAACTTTTGTATGTCTCTCATAGAATCCCCACAAGTGTGGGAACAGGCCGTTTGGCCCAACAAGTGCACACCAACCCTCCGAAGAGCATCCCACCCGGACCCATCCCCCAATGCTATCACTCTAACCCTGCTTTCCTGTGGCTAGTGCATGTAACCTGCACATCCCTGAACACTATGGGCAATTTAGCATGACCAATCCACCTAACCTGCACATCTTTGGACTGTGGGAGGAAACCCACACAGACCCGGGGAGAATATGCAAACTCCACACAGACAGTTGCCTGGAATCAAACCTGGGTCCCTGGCACTGTGAGGCAGCATTGCTAACCGCTGAGCCACCATACTGCCCCAGTTTGGAACTGGAGAATCTCCATTAATATTCTCTGTCTGCATTGTGGATACATATCTTGCCTAGTAATTTGATTACAGAATAAATTAAAAAGGTAAATCAGTTACATCTCCGATTCTGACTGAGTATCCAAAAGTAAGCCTGATTGGATTTTGTAGCTGATTATAGAGCAGTGAAAGCTGCCTTAAACAGGGTACCTGTCTGGGATAGAATTTACTTAAATAATTGCAAACATACAAATTAAGAGCAGGAGTAAACCTTTCAATCTCTGACCTGCTCCGCCATTCAATAAGATTATGACTAAATGATTGCAACCTCAAATCCACATTCCTGGTGATTCCTGATAACCTTTCACTACTTTGCTTAACAAGAATCTACTTCTGCCCTAGAAATATTCAGGGACTCTGCTTCTATGACCTTTTCAGGAAGAGATTCCAATCCAATCCTCTGAGAAAGATTCACCTCATCTTTGTTCTAAATGGGAAACCCTGGTTTTTAAGCAGTGACTCCTAGTTATTGATTCCCCCATACGAGGAAACACCCTCTCCGTATCTACCCTATCAAGACTGCTCATGATCATACATGTTTCAAACAAGTTGCCTTTAAATTCCAGAGGATTTCAGCAAAGCCTGAGCAGCCTTTCCCCATTAGATGACCTTCCTCATTCCACATATTAGTCTGGTAAACCTTCTCTGAACAGTGTGCAATACATTTACATATATAAAGGTAACTAGTATTGTACACAGTACTCCAGCCTCAACTGTGCCTCAAATAATTGAAGCTAAATCTCCCTACTATTGTAATCAACTCCCCTCGGATAAAATCTTTTAGCTTTCATAATTACTTGATGGACCTTCATAATAACCTTTTCTGATTCATGTAGAAGGACACCCAGATTCTACTGCATCTCAGAGATCTGCAGTCTCTCACCATTTAGTTCATGTTTTTTCCCTTCTTTCCAAAATGGACAATTTGACATTTTCCAACATTAGACTCCATCTGCCACATTTTACCAATTAATTTAACCAATGTATATATCTTTGTAGCCATCACATGTCCTTTTCATGTTCCTCTTCTATTTTTCTCCACATCATCAACAAATTTCATCAAAATCACTTCTATAAATTGTGAACAATTGAGGTCCCAGCACTGATCACTGCAGCACACCACTTACTACATCTTCCCAACCTGAAAAAAAACCATTTATGCCTATTCTCTGCTTCTGTTAGCTAGTCATTGTTATATGTATGCACCAATAAGCCACCTACTACACCATGAGCTTTTACTTTCAGCGATAACTTTTGATGTGGCACCTTATCAAATGCCTTCTGAAGTCTAAGAGCAATACATCCACCTGTTCCTCTTTATCCACAGCATGTACCTCCTCAAAGAACTGCAATAAATTTGGTCAAAAATGCTTTCTCTTTTGCAAAAACATGCTGACTCTGCCTGATTACCTTAAACTTATCCAAGTACCCTTCTATAACTTCTTCACTAATAGCTTCTAACATTTTCCTTATGACATATATATAATCTATAGTTTCCTGCTTTCTGTCTGCCTTTTTGAATATAGGGTTTACATTCACTATTTCCTGGTCTAATGGGACCATCCCAAATCAAGGAACTTTTAGATAATCAAAACAAAAGCATTGACTATCTCACTAGCCGCTTATTTTATGACTGTGGGATGAGGTCTGTTAGGACTTAGGCATTTATCAGTCTGCAGCTCCAACAATTTACTCAGTATCACTTCTCTGATGATTGTAAGTTTCCTGAGATCCTCTCTCCCTTCCATTTCTTGATTTATCTCTGCTTCCAAGATGTTACTTGTATCCTCTATAGTAAAGATCATTGCAAACTACATTTTCAATTCAGGTGCCAGATACTCATAAAATAATTAGTTTTGTTTCCTGTAACAGAAAAAAAAATTAATTCCAGAGAGTGAAGACATTTAGGAAAAGCAAAAATTACAGAACCCCCATTTCCCTTCCTTCCTGACCTCTCTTAATCACATAGGTCTTGAACTCTAATGTAGATCACATTCAGGTGCACATAATACTCATGTGACTTAGCATTTAAGACAAAAGGTCTATCTTACTCATTTAATGAGGATCCCATTTTAGTTGATCCTTAATTAAGCTGCTGTTTCACTGGAAACGTTTCCCACCCCAGCTTAAGGTGAGCACCTACAAATTTAAACCAAAGATTTAAGTTTTATGCCAACTATAAATTAAATTATATTTATACAAAATACAAGTTTAGACTTTCTTACCGAGCAACTACACACATTCAGTCCTGTGACCTGGTTTAATAAATGCTTCTAAGCAAACTTTGAGTTAATTACTTAAAGCACACGTCAATTTAAAAATCTAAATTTGTATATAGTGAGCCAACTAAAACTATTATTATTTGAATGCTAAGAATATTTTCTTCAATTTACTTTTAACCCCTACTTTTAGTTAGCGGAAAATATGATATATCTGATATATGTGCTTTTTAAAATGTCTGCCTTTTCAAAATTAAAGGAAAAAATAATCGTATTGTCTTAACACTTAAAGTAATTTGGCTTTTGGATATTATGTGCGGATTTTACAGGGCACTATGGTCCCTGTCCCCTCACAATATATCAAAAAATCTGGGAGGGAGCCAGCCTTGATCTCAATGGCTGTGGTGCAGCAATTTAATGCTGCAGATAACATTGATTGCTTTGACTGAGACCTCAGCTCTCTTGGCACCTTGGATGACAAGCAGCTTGGTCCAGCAGCACCACTGAGACTGTGGCCACAGCTGGATCTGCAGATAGCTCACAATGTTAAGGAGCCTAGATGGGTCGGGCTTCTCAGACAGGTGAGAAGCCAGGTTCAAATGGCCAAGGAGACAATGGCCTCCTTTTGGCTCAGATATCCCGCAAAGTAGCCCATGAAATCTATGCTGCTGGGTCTTACTGCATGGCATGAGCCTACCTTGCGGTAGGTAAAATGCCAATAACAACAGGATAAGACCATTAAAGGCTAATAACTGGCCACTTAAAACCCATATTAGGCACAAAAGCAAACTGACTGCTCAACATTTCCTCTAAAAGTAGAAACAGTCTGAGAGCAGGCAGGATGGTGGTTGAAAAGCCAACAATTGGATGTAACATGTCCCACTGCTTTCAACCCTCTGACGGGTACTATAAAATTCAGCCCTACATTCTTTAATAGATAATCAGATGGCACTCACAAAATTTACAGGAGACCTAAATCTCTTTATAATTGTGACTTCGTGTTTACAATACAGTGACCACGATCAGTGTTGGAAGGAGGCTACAGTTTATACTTGATTACAAGACATATGATTTGCTGCTAGTGATAATCTAATTTTGATTTCTAGTCAAATATCAAAAATATTTCCAAATAAAGACCTGCCACAGCTGCTAAACTGGCAATTGGGGGAGAGTATTATCAACCTACTTTCTGATCATTTTTGTTCTGTTGGGTGGTGCAGCCAGCACAAGTGAAGCTTTTTACCCACTTACAGCTGTTCTAGTCACTATGGAGTTAGGTCCTCAACACCACAGATCTGACGAAAATGATTACCTTTGTTAGTATGATGAGGAGCCCTGTCAAGAGTTTCCATCATTTTTGTTTTAGTTTCACATTTCCAGTATTTTGCATCAAGAAGAATTTTTTAATGCAAAAAAGAGCCAAAATTTGGCATTGTCTGTGGATCATATTGAGCACTGCCACAGGTAAAGCCAAGTACAATACAAACAGGCAGCACTGTGATGAGTACAATGCATGAGTGCGTGTATTTGTAAAAATATTACATTGATTAATACATATCAAGCCACTCTTGTTTTGGAGTAGAAGAGATGTGCACTATTTTAGCACAGCAGCCTCACTCAACGATAGAGTGAGTGATGTCGCACGTCAAGTGTTTGTAAACAAAACTTGAAATGTGGCTGTGAAGTACTTGCTACTCAGTACAGTTTGTTGAAATCCTTTACTCGTCTGTCAAAAAACTGGAGGAAGGCCTCAGTGATATGGAATTCTGTAACAAAGTTGAGTCAAACAATATGCTAGGAATAATCTTTTAGGACTAAGAAATAAATCATTTTGTTTAGCAATTTTGTTGATATTCATGTGGAGATGAATGGAATGGAAAATACAGAAGAATAGTTTGCAAGCACTGTAAAGGTATAATGATTTTCTTTCAGGATGATTATGTTCTGGAGGTACGTCACTTTCAGTGTCCAAAATGGCCAAATCCAGATGCTCCTCTCAGCAGCACCTTTGAACTTATAAATGTACTGAAAGAAGAGGCCTTGACCAGAGACGGACCAACCATTGTTCATGATGAGTATGCACTTGTGGCTTCCTGTTTCACTTTATTTATGTCATTTGTGCTATCTTGATCTACCTATAGTCCAAAACAGTTGGGCAGTTTATTAATTATTAACAATTAGTTTCATGGAATCATTACTTCATTCGAAAGGGAATGTCAGAGATGTTCATCTTGTCATTGACAACCTGGTTTCTGTTGAAAATATATGCTATTTTGGTCTGGAATAACAGTATGAATGGAACATGGAAGTATGTGAGAATGATCCAAGCTGAACTGTGCTCATGTTTTAACTCCCTTCCAGGATAAAAGGAAATGTCTTTACTCAGTGACCCAGAGCAGTTTACTTAATTGTAATTTTGCGTACAAATTATTACTAGCTGCCTACCAATAATATACATGTTTGTTTCCAATCAACAACCAAATATTATACTTAAAAGAGAGTTAAAGGGTTTCTAGTTAAAAAGAAAGCATCTATCGGCCAGAAAGGAAATTAAGAATAATTCCAAAGATTGCTGTTGACTATAGAAATGATGATGGTTTTCCATCACTGAACTGTATGTTGAATCTATCCAGTACCTAATTCTTCTCCTGAAACTTCATGACGGAGCTCCTGATCTCTCATAGTAACTTGAGAATGAAAGCACTTGGCACACCAGAGGAACAGCTGAATTTTCTGTTAACACTCAAAGTTACGGTGCTAGTTACGTCAAGAGACTGCGACAATCTCCACAAAACCTCCAGGCATAAATGGTTGTAACCAGATTTAGGTTGACTTCATTTCCTCCCCTGTGAGGAAGAAACCATGAAGCAGTTGTTTGCCTTTGGCTTGATTGGTCGTCTTCAGATAGTTGTGAACAATATTCCACAGTGGGTCGTGAGCACTTAAATTACACTAACTCTTGAATGCAACTCTAAAGAAGTACTGCATTGTCACATATACTATTTTTGAACAGTCAGACACAATAGTGCTCTGACATGCCTTGTTCAACATTTTTCTCTCATCAACTGACTGACTAATTGGTCTTTAATCTCTTTTGCAGAATTTTTGCTGTCACACAAAGGCTCACATGTTTTGTACAAACACTTCAAAAGTACTTAATTGAGTAAAGTACTTGGAGAGGTGTCAATAATGCACAGTATTCTATGTGCACTTTTTCATAAAAAGAAACTTCCCTTTTCACACTCCCCCAGCATCTGATTTCCACTCTCAAAACTGTTTCAGTCAGCAGGCTAGGATCTTCTGTGTCATGAACCTCTCATAGCATGACAGTCATACTCGGTTTGCTAAAGGGTTGGAGACTGGTGGGCTAATTTAGTTTTCTTCTCATTCTGCTCTTGTAGTCACTGTTATTGGTGTTGACTGACAAGGCATGTACTGATAGATCTGTTTCTCCCCTGTACTACTAGAGATAGAGTGCACAACGCAACAATCTGACTAATTTTCTATAAAAGAATGAATAAAAGTTCTGAATATTTTGAACTTACTATAAGCAACTAAGCTCATAGCTGTAATAAATGTTACTTTTCTGGTTAGGATTTACAGAGCCAAATGTTAGTTTGAAAGTATTTAGTGTAATTAAGTCAAATGTCAACTGGAACAAACATCTTGCTTTCAATCTTTTGGAATTCCTTAGTGAAATAACTCCATAGAGGCCAGTCTCTCGTCACCAAGTCGCCCTTTATTAAATGTGGAAAGTTCTTGACACTGGTCCAGCTCCCTCAGAGCCAAATGTCAGAGATGTCTGACAATCCTATTCTTAACTGTCAACCGGGGCTCCCTGATTGGACCAGATTAGTTGCCCCAATCAGGAACTCATATTCTATGAGGTCCATCTGGCTGACCTTGTTACAATCACTATACTTAGAAATATTTAAAGTAAAGGCATCTGGAACAATAAAATAAATGGTCATGTCTCATTCATTTCCTGTGCACACTGTTCAGTGGAATTTGAAAAATGAAATACATGTTTACCTGGAGCAACTTGTCATTATAATGAATGTTTGTGTTTCTCTATTGCTCCATAGCAAGTGTTATTAGTTATCCAGTGACATATGCTGCCTTCATTTAATTCTGTCTGAAACTGCACTTGTAAAAGGAAGATTTATTAGTAACCAATGACAAAGAAGTTACCTTTGGATAAAAGGAACATTAATGAAGTCTAAGTGCAAGATTAGCTTGTGTGTTTAATTAGTTCCTAGTTTATATAAGATTATTAACTCACTATTTTGTAAACGTTCAAATCTTTTCTATCTATTCATGTTGAAGGCAGTCATTAAAGCTGATCCAGGGCGTACAGAAATTACATCTTAGCAAATATTTGAGAGAGAATGCATGAAAAAGAGATTGCATTCAGTCAGGTGAAGAGAACCTTAGGTGAACACTTCTCCTCGTACTGTATCCTGCAGGTTTGGAGGGGTCTCTGCTGGGCTGTTCTGCGGCCTTACTACTCTGTCACAGCAATTGGAGTGTGAATCTGCTGTGGATGTCTATCAGGTTGCAAAAATGATAAACCTGATGCGGCCAGGCGTTTTCACAGATGTCGTAAGTATTCGATTCTGAAAATTAAAAGTCTATTATATAACATTGACATTATAACCTTTAATTAGTCCTCGGATGCTGCAATAATGATACCAAAACTTGAGTATGGAAAAAGGCAAAATCTGATGTGGTACGGCCTTCTAACATGCCACATTATATCTGAGAGTTTTGTAATATGAATGTGCAATAGGTAAGAATATGCCATAGTTCTCTTGCATTGATCTTTTTCTTCCGATATAATGTAAATGACATCAATCTTGAGAGTTGACTATCTCTATTTTAAATTGCACAATGTTGCAGTGGTTATATTTCTGAAGATTTGACACAATTATAAGCAATGTTGAAGTAGTGATATACATAAATAATTAACACAAGGCTTTCCTAATCTAATGCTTTGTTTCTGTCTTTGCACAGGAGCAGTATCAGTTTCTATATAAAGCAATGCTCAGCTTAATCAGCACAAAAGAGAATGGAAATGGACCCTCGTCATTTGACAAAAATGGCACCATTATTATCACTGAAGAATCAGATCCAGCAGAAAGCATGGAATCTCTTGTGTAATTTGAAGATTTTCACAATTGGAACTTCATTTGAAAAACAAACTTCTAAGGACTGAATGAACTTTTGAGGCCTTTTTTTTGTCAGGTTGCAACTTTAAAGATAACCTGGCTAAACATTTTACAGTGATGAGAGGTTTTGATGTTAAATTGAACCATTCTGAATCTTATTGTTATCCTGCTGAGTATTTGCATCTCTTATTTTCACAAGATGAAAACACAATTTGTTCTAGTTTGCACTATCTAATCAGTGTTACTGCCTATTAAAAATCTAGTACAAAATCTGTAATTTCCCAGAAATCCATGAAAAAATTCTGTTTGCAATCCTCTATAACTTGAACTTCATAGGAAGACACAGCCTGTGTCTGGAGACAGTTTTAAGGTAATGTGCAAACAAAAACATTCTACATTTTAGTTGTTCATCAGCTCAGATTGTTTTTTTACAGACTGAAATGTATTATTGAATTCGCTTTTAAGTAATACATAATTTGAACCTGGCAAGTCCTGTAAAATATCAGAGATGTAACCTCCTACATTCCAGTGATCAGACTACGAACATTCAAAAAAGAAAATTCTTCCCACAAAATACTTTAGTGCTGGTCAGGTGTATGGTTAGAGCTAATAATTTATCATTTTCTTGACGTTTTATATATTTGTGCTGCTCCAGGCTGTAACTGAAATGTGTGGAGAAAATGTTCATTTTTCATGTGTTAGAAAAGATATAAATATCTAAGTAAGGGCAACAGTCATCATGCCTGCAAGAATGTGGAACATGAGTAACTGTTTTTCCAGGATTGAAATGAACATACAGGAGACACAGGTCCAAATGGTGGAAAGGGACGTGTGCACCAGTTCTGCTTGCACGTAGACAGCCAGCGGACACAGAATTTAATATTCATTATAAAGAACAGGCGACAGCTATTTGGATGCAAGCAATTGCTTGGAATGACCTAACTCACTGTCAGGCGATTGAAATGCAGCTCTGATATAACACGGTGTAGAGCTGGATGAACACAGCAGGCCAAGCAACATCAGAGGAGCAGGAAAGCTGACGTTTCGGGCCTAGACAGGGTCAGGTCTCAGATTTTCCAGCATCTGCAGTTCCTACTATCTCTGAAATGCAGCTCTGCCTGGCTTCAGGATTTGCAGGCAGGGCATGCAGCTCAGCAGGGAAGAAAGTTACAAATTTGGAAGGACATTGTCTGAAGCCAAGCTCTTCATTCCACTTTGCTTCTATCTTCTATCCCCATCTTGTATCCCAACTATTTAGACCCTCATTATTCTATACCATCTTTTGGGAGCTCCCATCACTGCCACCCATCACTTGTTGTCTTCACCCCCCCCTCCCCCTTCTCATACCTCCCTCCCACAGAGCAATCACCTCCTGGATGCCCCCTCACAGTGCTCCTCCACTTTTCCCTGCTTTTGCTGGCACTTCAGGGTCATGAACGTAATCCTGTCTCTCTCACCATTTCCTTACCATTTAAAAACTGCTGTTCATCTGTAATCTGAATGTACAACCTCGTCTGATGCACACCACCTTTAACCAGTGCAGATGGAACAAGTTTCCCATTCACTACTGACTAAATCTTGGACTTCTGACTTAATTTGGGCAAATCTTGATTTAATGGCATGCAAATATAAGTAAAGGGTACCTGCCACTGGACACCATGAGTTCCTATCCGCCACTGAAACACTGTCGACTTAATCTCTTAAACTCAACCCGTCATTGGAAATACAAGATTTTGACTCCAGCCTGCTTGAGCCATCCCTCCTGCCATGATTTCCATTCCTGGTGGCCCCATCAAGTCCACTCCTTGGATTCAATTTTCTTTTTATAGGAGGTGTAGAGAAAAGAAGAATGATACACGTTTTTGCACAGTTGGTTGTGTAAGTGTAAAATGAGGGTGCATTTTGTAGCAATGTTACACTATGGATAAATATTGTGTGAGGTACACCAATAATGTTGCATTTTTGCCATGTCAATAATCAGTCTTTTGGAAAGATTACATGATTTGAAACATTTTTTAAATAACAGTCGAGAAGAATTTATTAACTTACCAAAGATATAAAGTAGTTCTCAGCAGAACGTAGGAGTGTTTCTTTTAAAACAAAAATGTTTTAATTGTCTTATTATTTCTAAACTGCCTCTTTGGACCAGGGTCAGACTTTTAATTTAGAAATTCAAGAAGTGACTCAATAAGGTGAATGTTAATGTTATCAAGGTGCCATTTCATATTTCATTTCATGAAAGGATGATTCCACATATTGAATAAACCATTCATATAGACGTCATACCTTAATTATAATTTAAAATTGTATGCTTTCTCCTTTTAAAGGGTTTACCATATTTGTATCTAAAAATCACGTGTGATATTCAGTTAATTATCTGCAGATGAGGCTATGTTCTCAGTGGGAAGAACATAGTAGTGCTGGACTGAAAATGCTGTCAGACTTCTCTCTGCTGTAACATCTTTTAAAAAAAAATACTGCTACCTGGAAGTGAAAACAGAAGTTTCAAAATTTTTGTTAAAAAAAAAGAGATATTTTCACAAAGTGGGAGACATTTTCTATACTAGATAAACATTTGATGAGGCAAACATGAAACAAACTTTTAGGAAATTAAAAAGCTTGAGCTGTTTTCAGGAAAAAAAAGTTTAAAAAAGAAAAAAAAACTTTTTCTCAACAAAGGGGAGATATTTGAATTTTTTAAAAACCTCATGTTTCTCCAACATTTGGGGTCGTCGTGTTCAAAAGAATTTTGTTTCAACATTTTTGACAAAAATAAAGATAGTTCAAATATCATGTCTTGAAAACCATAACTTTTATTCATTCTTTAGGGTAGCAGATACAAACAAACTGTAAATATTTTGTTGCTTAAACAGGCATTCTATGGGGACTTTGTATCTACAATATATAATCACAGAATTTTATATTTTCATATAAAGCTAATTTTTTTCTAGTCTCAACTCCTTCATAGTTTTGTGGTGGCTATGTGGAAAGCTGTATTTGCATTGAGATAGTACCATGAATACTGTGTCATCACATTTCAAAGGCATCGAACCTATATTACTTCTTGGGGGCAGTGGTTGTCGAAGTTGCAGGTATTTTCAACTATATTGTCGATGTATGCAATAGGAATAGATCTAGGCAGTTGCTGAATAAGTTCGTCTCATGATCCATTTGAAAATGTGGTGTTCTGTAACTTGAAAAAATCTTCTTTGTTCTGTTGGAAACTATATTAAATTGTTCTATTATAGTGTTATTTAATATGTAAATTGTATTGCTACACATGAAATAAAGTATGGATTTTGACGGACCTATAGATGATGCCGCTGTGATTTTGCTAGAAGTATTCATTTTGGTGTTTAAAGCCAATATACTTTGTCTACAATATATTTTAGATTAGCTGAAGTCAGCCAGCATGTCTAGATTTGAAATTCCTCCTGCCAGTAACTTTACCAAAAATGTCTGCAAACAAAAAACTCAATCATTACAGAAAAGCAGAGATGCTGGAAGCTCTCACCAGCATCAGGTCAATAATTTTAGCATCAGAAACAGAAACTAGGAGCAGGAATAGGCCATTCAGCCCTTCAAACTTTCTCTGCCATTGAGTATGATCATGGCTAATTTCTCCCCATACCTTCTGATCCCTTTAACCCGACAAACTACATTTAACTCCTTCTTGAAAACCACTTTCTGGGGCAGGGAATTCAACAAGCTCACCACTCTCTGGGTGAAGATATTTTTCTTCTTCTCAGCCCTAAATGGCCTACCCTGTATCCTTGGTTCTGGACTCCCTGGTCATCAGAACATTCCTCCTTATCTACTCCTATTAGTGCTTTATAAGTTTATATGTGATTCTCCCATTGTCTTTCTGAACTCCAGTGAATATAGTCCTAACTGATCCAGTCTCTCTTCATTCGTCAGTCCAGCCATCCTATGGTATGGTAAATCTCGCTGTATAGCCAGAATATCCTCCCTCAGAGAAGGAGACAACAACTGTACACACTACTCCCAGTATCGTCTCCACCAAGGACCTGTATAACTGCAGCAAGATATCTCTGCTCCTGTACTCAAATCCTCTTGCTATGAAGGCCAACATACTAGCACAGTGACTCAGTGGTTAACAATGCTGCCTCACAACACCAGAAATCTGGGTTTGATTCCACCCTTGGGCAACTGTGTACATCTCTGTGTGGGTTTCTACTGGGTGCTCCGGTTTCCTCCCACAGTCCGAAGATGTGCAGGTTAGGTGGATTGGCCATGCTAAATTGCCCATAGTGTCCAGAGATATGTATGTTGGGTAAATTAGCTGTGAGGAATGCAGGGTTACAGGGATAGGATCTAAGTGGGGTGCTCTTTAGAGGGTCAATGTGGACTTGGGCCAAATGGCCTGCTGCCACACTGTAGGAATTCTATACCATTTGCCTTCATCACCGCCTGCCACACCTGCATGCTTACTTTCAGTGACTGGTGTAAACAGATACTCAGGTCTCATTGCACCTCCCCTTTTCCCCATCTATTGCCGTTAATATCCTACCTTTCTGTTGTTGCTACCAAAGTGGATAACCTTACATTTATCCACATTATATTTCTTGTGCCATGTATTTGCCCACTCATTCAACTTGTCAAAATCAGACTGAAGCATCTCTGCATCCTCCTCACAGTTCAACCTCCCATCAGCTTTGAGTCGTTTGTAAATTTGGAGGTATTACATTTAGTTTCCACATCCAAATCGTTAATATGTATTGTGAATAGCAGACAGGTTGTCCTGATCTTGCTTCATGCAGACACAAATTGCTTCAGCGTCAGTGGAGTTGTAAATCATACTGAACACCTTGCAATCATCAATGAAGGTCCCTGCTCTGACCTTTTGGTGAAGGATTCTTGCACCCAAGCCATTTTCATGAGAAGCTCCTGCAGCAATGTCCTACCACTGAGGTGATAGATTTCAAATTAGTACAACAGTTTTCCTTTGCTATAGGTGTGACTGTCAAGAGTTTTCTCCAATTCCCAATTATTTCAATATTGTTAGGCCACCTTGATGTCATATGCAATCAAATGCTACCTTGAAATCAAAGACTGTTTCACTAACTCATAGCACCATAAAAGGTAGGAATGAGGAAAGCCGTGTCCCCTTTAAACCTGTTCCTCCATTCAATATCATGGCTGATCTGATCTTGGCCTCAATTTCACATTGCTGGCTCTTCCCCATAATCTTTAACTCACCTATAGTTAAAAGATCTATCTAGTTCAGTCTCATACAGCAAATTTTGTTTTAACCAGCACCTTATGAACCAGCACTCTTGATAAACCAGCAAAAATTATATACCTGAAATATCAGAAGTTTATTGTATTATCGCAATCTCCACACTATCCGAGTAGTGAGTTGGGGATGCGAGTGAGAAGGCTCTCTGCCAGTAAGTTTTAGTTAAGGCAAAGTTGCACTATTAATTAAGTGATTTATTCTGTAAATAAAGTATAACATTGATGTGTATACCCCCTGCATTACATTTCTATGACTTTGTGTGTGTTTTTATATTGTTTATATAGACATCTTGATCAACTGGAATATTATATCAACTGACACACTCCTGGTCCCATAGGGGCCAGATAATAAAAAGGTTTGCTGTATATTCACTGAAACAGCCTCCACAGCTCTGCTGGGTTAGATAATTTTGAACTTTCAAGCTTTCTAGCAGAATAATTGTTTTCTCTTCCCAGTTTTAATGGGTAAACCCTAATTTGTTGTGTGAGGGAGGGCACTTCAAGGTCTAGTGAAATGAGCCTCTTCAATGGGCAACACCATTGCGCACAGACCCATGTAAAAGAAACATACCTGAGGGCACAGATGCCCTGGCAACCCTTTATGCATTGGTCTAAGTTGTGCAATCCACCTTTTTTGTGTTTCCAAATAAAATTTATTAAAATATAGAGAGATGTCATTTGTTGCTAATAGTGTTTTATATAATTAATTCAGCCAATGCAATTTGAAGTAAAAGAATTAAAATGAGAGAAATTACTTGGTGTCAGCTCATTAGTTTGGGATTGATATGAGCTGTTGTCGTTAAAATATTACCAAGTACGATTCTACAGTGAGTCAGACACAGTTTATTAACAAAAGCTTTTGGGAGAAGCAGGGACCTCAAAGGGGCCTCACCAAACTTCTCAGCTATTACAGACAATTTCAAAGGTTATATACATTTGCTGTCACGCGCCAACCCCCCAGCCCCCCCCAACCCCAAGTCATGTACACAATTCTTTAATCTGTTCCCGGCGTCTTGCAAAGGGGGTGACGGTTAGCGCTTCTATTGTTGTTGGGACAGGATTTGTTGTTTCAGCGGATGTTTCATCTTGATTGTGTAAAGTTCGATCTGAAGGTCCTTTGGGTTGTTGATCTCTTTACTTCCTCCTTCAGTAAGTTAATGTCTTTAAAAGTTAATGTCTTTACTTCTTCCTTTGGTAAATGACTTCACTTATTCCTTCAGTAAGTTAATCACTTTACTTACTCCTTCATGAGCATAATATCATGAATGGAAAATTTATGTTCCTCTTGCCTAGGCCATGTAGATGTAACTGTACTGAGAAACCTCCAGCACGTGGAAGAAGGTGAAGCTGAGCTACAAGAGGTTTCAAAGAAAGACCAGCTTGCTACCCCTCCCATACTGCAGACTCCAGAAAACTTTTATCTCATCACCTTCAAGAGAATTGAGAAAACCAACTGATTCCTCCAAATTGGCTTCTTCAGTACGAGAGTCTCAGTGCAAATGCACCTCCTTGCCCCAATCAATTCAGATCATTATATTGCAAATCAACACTAAACCCACTAAGGCCCATGATGCAACTTCACTGTCTGTGCACCTGGATGGATTGTATCTATTTGCTGGAATTGCTGCACCTGTAATGTACCCATTGCATAGACATGGTGCTGCAACTGCTCACTTCACACCTTGGTCCATAAAACATCATGTAGGGACAAGGATGGGTGGCTGCATTTGTTTGACAGCTGCAACTGGGGCTATGCAGAGGTTTAAAGAACTGATTATGTTGAACAGTACAAACATATTTCCAAACCTGAGCAATTGTGAACAATGAAGTGTTACCGATGTCACCAATGTGCCCTCAAAATATTTTCCTCTTCCTTTCCCTTCCACTACATCTCAGTGCAATCCCAGTTTCTGCATCTGGGGTGGAGGAAGTCTGCCCTACAACGGAGCCCATTAGCCTTGAAGTTCTGGTCAGGCCACCTCAGGTCCAGAGGGCTCAGACATCTTCAATTTGTCCTGATCCCACATTGGCCTGGACCCCCCTAACACTCAGGGTGGCAGGCAAGGTGGAAGTGTAAGGCCTAGTCTGAAGTATCCGGAGAGGAGTTTTATAGGGCTTGTGTGTGGTTCAATTCTGCTGGTACCTGCAAGACACAAAAGGCAGAAGGCATCACGACAAAGTGTTAGGAATTGTGTTGGGTGAAATCAACATTGACAGTGGGCTTAATGTGAGAATTACATTACAATGAACACTGCTTTTATTGCTGGTGGGATATGGATATCCAGACACCTCTTCAGGACCTGTCTCGGTTCTCTCCAGCCAGTACCATAATTCTTTCCTCAGAGGATTTAAGGAGATCATGTTGAGCACCTCTCTGCCCTGTTCTGGACTGCTTTCTCCTTGAATGAGAGAAAGGAAGGGATTGAATGCGATGAAAGTAGGTGGCATAGCTGTTAGTGCTGGGCGAATTGCGAGAAAAGGTGGTGAATTGTCCCAAATGAATGAGCAGGCAGCATAGAGGCCATTCAGGGTTGGTTGTATTTGGGCAATTGGGTGGTCAAGACTGAGAGGGAGAGGATATTGCATGCAAGAGTGAGAATATTACAGCATGAGCTGTGGTGTGATATGGAGCACACTAGCAGAGGTAGTTAGTGTAAGGTAATGGAGAGAAGACGGTGGCACTTACATTAGTGAAGTGGAGAAGGTCATTGACATTCCTGCACTGTTGAGCATTTTGCCAGACAGTGGATATGGCACTAACCTAAGTGGCAACTTCTGACCAGGCTGGCAGGATCTGATGGCATGGCCTCCTTTATCAGTCCTGGGGGAGGAGGACTGACCTCTTCTATACCACCCAATCCACCAGGATCTTGAGGTCTCCATGGGTGAATCATGGCACCAGTTTCCCATTGTCAGCCATGGTCTTTAGGATTGTGTTGCTGTGCAGACCTTCAGAATGCCAGTGGCTTTCTGTGTACACAATGGACCTTTAAGGATGGAACAGGTGCCAGGTATCCTGGGTCCAGGATACCCACACAGTGATG